GACCTGCCCAGGATTCCGGTGTGGAGAAGTATACGCTGTCATTTTGGACACGGTTATGACCTCCAAAACGTGATTCGTCTGTGTTTAGTAAGACCTTGTATTTTCCAGGGGCAGGAACAGCAACGCGATAGTCAGTAAAGGACTTTGAAGGGTGGAAATTAAAGATGAAGACAGCACCCGCGCGGTCAAAGGCCAGGACTTTGTCTTGCTCGTGCTTCCAGGACACGAAGCCCTAATACCATTATGGGATGTACAAGTATGTTAGTAAAAGATCGTCTGCTGAAGTGTATAGTCTTTGGTCCTTGTTGCTATTACCTGTGGGGCGCTGAGCCATCCGACTTGGGATTCGGCATTGTTCATGGCAGCGTCAAAGTCGTTGAGTTGCTTGTATCGAAGCAGGTCGTCGTCAACTACGTTCCATTGCCGACGAGCATAGTGGAATGACGAGTTGTTGCCATCTCGCGGAAAATCGAGCCACTCTGGATGACCAAACTCGTTTCCGATAAAGTTCAAATAACCCTCCCCTCCGAGAGCATGCGTAACCAACCTTTTATTATTATTTAAGAATTTAAGGAGTACTTATAACAGTTAATAAAATGAAAGGCAGGCAAACCATTCCTCTTATTGTCTTATTGCGGATTTTTTTTTAAACATTAAACTCAGTATTGTTAGTTTACCTGATCATCTTATGAAGAGCCAAACCACGGTCAATGATATGTGTGAGTTCAGTTAGAACACTCATGTGAGTGTACATCTCCTTGTCCATGAGCCAGAAAGCAATCGTCTTGTCTCCAACCAGAGCTTGGTCGTGCGACTCACAATAGGCAATGGAGGGCTCCTTGTATCTCCTATTGGTGAGAGTAAAGACAATATTACCAATGTCCCATTCATCGTCAGACTTTTCTTTTAGCAGTTTGATCCACATATCAGGGATTGCCATCGACAGGCGATAGTCAAATCCGATACCGCCCTCCGAGACAGGTCTGCAAAGCGTAGGCATTCCAGAGACATCTATCAATGAAATTGCAGACGCATCGATAAATATGAGGGAGATAGGTAAACTAAGAATCTGTGCCGATTCTATCATCAAGTTGAATTCCTGGAGCACATACCTTCAGCAACTGTGATGCAATTTGGATAGAGCTGATGCAGCATATCATTGGCGACCATCAAATACACGACGGCTTCAATGTCCACCAAGTTACCAAAGTATTCGTGGTAGTTGCCCGAGAATCCGTAACCAATACCGTGATGGACATACATCATGCTAGTCACTCCATCAAATCTGAACCCGTCAAAGGCATATCGGTCCATATAGAATCTCAAATTGCTCAACAGGAATCGCATAGTCTCATAATTGCCATAGTTGAAGAGACGAGAGTCCCAAAGCTCATGGCGTCCCTTTTCTCCCCCATGGAAGTATTGGTGATCACTTCCATCAAACTCGTTAAGTCCATCGAGAACATTCTTGCAGGCGTGGGAATGAACAACGTCCAAGAGGACAGTGATTCCCATACCATGGGCTGTGTCGATGAGCTCCATGAGTTCCTCAGGAGTACCTTTGACGGATCAATGGAAGACATTTGTAAAGATTAGTGCTTTGTTTTAACTTTTCTGAAAAGCCCTATCACGTTAAAAGCACGGTTATTGAGCATTATAGATTTGCTTACCATAACGACTGCTCGCAGCAAAGAAGCTAGTAACCTGATATCCAAAGGAGGCGTAGTAAGCGTGTTCCATAATGGCCATAAGCTGAATTGTGTTGTATCCCAGCTTTTTAATCCTGGGTAGCACATTTGCAGTGAATTCAGTAAATTGGCCAACACGACCCTCCGGAGTCGCAATACCCACTTCAGTGACAACAGAAGGTGGTAAAAAAATAAAAAAATAAAAAAAGTTATTTTCTGTTATCATTTTTCATATCCCAATCTATCTATGCCGTCTGTCTTACCATGAGCTTCGTATACTTTGATGCTCTTTGGCTTGGGTGGCGCCTTGTTTTTCCACTGATACTTCTTTGGTGGATTCCAAAAGACAGCGTCATAAGTAGGTGAAACGCTCAGATCCTGAGTGACGCGGAGAATCCACGCAGGCAAACGGTCAATACGTTCCCCATTAGGCTTGATCATGGTAATCTGTCCAAAAAAGAAGCAAATGTCATATCGCCGTAAAGGATCAAATATGTCAGATTGACATTGAGTTAAGATGAATATTGCTTAATTAAAAAAAAAGAATAAAAAGAATAATAGATAAACAATAGTAATAATAAAAATGTACCTTGACTTTGCTGTTGTGAGCAATTGCTGGTGTTCCGTCAGCCTTGTTTGGCAAAAAGATCTCAAACACGCCATATGCATCCTTCTTCATAGGGTGACTCGAAGGGTTCCATTGGTCTAGAAAGGATTAAAAAAAAAAAAAAAAAAAAAAAAAAAAAAAAAAAACACATAGCGAGGAGCGCGACAGTCAAGGCGTAATATAGTATTTACAATTGCATTTCGGTTCATTGGCCAAGAGGTATTCGAATCGAAATGAGAGAGACCAGCACATTGCATCCATTCATTCATAAATATTAACATTGCGAAAAAAAAAAAAAAAAAAAAAAAAAAAAAAACAATGCAAAGGTCAAAAACAACAACAGCAACAAAAAGCATAGATTAGGCAAGACAAGAAGTATGACACGCAAAGAGTTGATACTAAAGTCGCCAAAGAGAAAAGCTTCTTTCGCATTGGGGGCCCATTCTCTGTAAGTGATCCCTTTATCCGAGATTTGAAATCCAAGGTATTCATAGCCTCGAGTGAACTTTTCGTAACCACCATGCTGGTCGATGATATCCTTCCATTTTTTATATGCGGCATATCTGATCGAAAGAGGGAAAAAAAGTTAGGTCGTTGTTAGTTTGATCTAGGTGCCGTGGGAATCTGTTTAGAGGAGACATGAGTAGAGGAATAAACCAGGTAAAAATCATTACCTTTGCTTCAGAGATTCCTTGTAGGGTTCCAGCCATGGATCCAGCTGGATAACGCCAGTGCCATCCATGACCTGAGTGGCTGCAGCTGAATTGTTGGATAACGCCATATCAAATGCAAATGCTTATGATGAGATTGGAGTGGATGAAGAAAGTAATAGAAGAAAAGAAGAAGAAAAGAATTGAAGAAATGAAAGAAATGGGAAAGATAACAAATTAAACAATGATGATAACAAAAAAAGAAAATAGAAGTGACGATGAGGACGATCGCGCGTCATGGCTCATTTTTGGCAGATACACACATTATCTTAGTCTAACTCATGTCCCAATCTATTCAACGGGACTTGAATATAAAGCTTCGTTCACTTTCATTTTCTCATGCTCACTTCACCACTTTAATAAACTTATTCAAGTTTTAAAAATGAATTCCGATTCATTCTTTTTTTAATAACATATATTATAATACTTGCACGATGGTGGGTTATTGATTGTCATGCACATTGCTCAGCACGGCCCAGCTCTGGGTTTGCTCGACTGCTGTGCATGATTCGTCAAAAAAAAAAAAAAAAAAAAAGAAGAGATAAAGACATCTTATCTGAAAACAACAAAGTTTTGTTGGCCCCAGCAAAAATAAAACAAAACCCAAAAATATAAAGAGCACATTCCATTTAAAAAGTAATATTGGGGTTGGAATACTAACGTGGTCAGTGCTTTCACAAGCATTGGCACAAAAATATTTTTACATGTCTTCCTCACTGTCCACCACTACAAAGCAATCACTAGAGTCCTCCGACTTCTCACTTGGTGTCGCTGATTTTTCCTTTCTACGCTCGTTCGGCATCCTAGCAAGAAGCGCAGCCAGAGAACATTAAAGAAATAAGTAGCTGTCTACTGTGCATGATCCATATGAATAAAATACATAACGGAGAAAGGGTTGACTAACTTCTGCGGGCATGATGATTGGGTCTGAGACTCGGCATCACGCCTAGTTTTGCAGGCAAACGCCTTTTTCCAGACATCTTTATACATATTGGGCAAGATAGGGATTAGAAAGCCGCTGTGGCCAGCGAGAGGCTGCCGAATCTTGAGCATGATATGAGTAGGATCGTGAACAGGCTCTGGTAGAGCCTCACAGTCCCCACATAGGTCATAATCTGCACAGTTTACACACTAGACAACAGAAAAGAAATAGCTTTTTTAGCTCGATGTCTGTGAAACACGTTATATCTGGTAGTAGCGTCCACTAGCAGTGAGCAGCACGACTATATACCTTGTAACGGACGCCATAGACAGTTTCGTTACATCTATCGCATATAATGCTCATATGAGGTGTGCGGTCAACTTTGATTTGGACCTGTCCAGGATAAGTGATGAGGAAAAAGGTATGCCCTTTATGCATGGTGCCTGCTAGCGGGAGACATTCTTCGCACAGATCGTAGTTAGGACACTGAATGCACTTGTGTCTCACGCCCATGATGGTCATCATGCATATATCGCAATATGCGCCATGCTCTTGTTTCTGAGATTGTTTAGAATAGGGCGGAGGCTCAGTAGTAGGTGGTTGTTTTGGAGCTTCAATAGGCATGAAAGAATGGCCAGAGTGACGCCGACTAGCCAATGGGAGACAATTCTGGCACAAGTCGTAGTTGTCACACTCATGGCACTTCCAGCGAGTACCTCGGATATTTTTTAGGCAAATATCACAATAGACACGATCATGAACACCCTCTGCAAGTGTGAATATCCATGAATGGTTAACGATAGTCAGTGCCAAATAATAAAAGGTAAACCTTCTGATTTGGTATCCAGTTGGCAAAATAAAACGTTTCCATACCTTCAGCATGCTTTTGTTTATTGTCCTCACAGTCGGTCATTGGGCTACCTTTCTTTTCCTTTTCCCCCAAGGTTGTACTCATATCCACTAAAGAATAGGCAAAAAAAGTCAGGGTTTTTATAATGGTTGCGGTTGCTCCACAATGCAAGACACAATAAAAATACCTTTCTCACGAGGTTCAACATCAAGACGTATGACTAGCATAGTGGGGCTAGGTTGAGGCTGCTTGATAAAACTCTTGATAGCCTCGAAGACGTCGGTATCGGTTTCGATGTACTTACGAGCGCCATTGTGGTCCTCGTATGAGACGCTCATCGCCTTCTGGTTAAATAAAGTACATATCTATTTTGGCCAATTCACAAGTGTTGGATTCAAATGTGTGTTTTCAAAGATACAGTGTTGTAATACAGCAGTAAAAAGAGAATAAATACATGCCTTCAAATGCAAAGACTCGAAAGAAAGTTTGTCTGAATCCTGCTGTAGGTTATCCAGTTGGACGTTGGCGAGAGTGAAGCGTCTAAACTCCGACTTACAGGTAGCCTTCACAACGCAGAGCATATTAACAAAAAAAGGACGAGAGAAGTAAATTCAGCAAAGCAAAGCCTGCGTTACACGTAATGAAGGAAAGGAAATGAAGGTGAGAGCTTTGGCGAAAAAGGGAAAACAAAGGCGTGTAAATATAAATTACAGCAGTTGGCGGTTGGCGAAGTTGTGAAATGACTTTTTCTTCGTGTAAATGTAGACCATTACCAAGGGCGAGTGAAAAAAAAAAAAAAAAAAAAGAAACCCCGCTGAAGTAAAAGGGGCTCGAGCGAAGCACCACGTGATATGTAGACAGCCCTTAATAATATCTTCTGCCGGCGGCAAACCTAACATCATTTTATTCAACCCTGCATCTTTCTGTCAACAATCCAAGCGGCCTGAAGCCAATCAATAACAATTACAACAATTATAACGGCAACCACAACCACAACCACAACGGCATTACATTAGCTACCATTATTCCAACTTTTTGATATCTCTGTCAATAGCTTCCCAATCATGGATTTGGAGCAGTTTGAAGCACTGGAGCTGGTCAATAAGATCCGTAATGAGCTCTTGAATCACACTGGCATTGATGACAAAACTGTTGGTATGTTCTCAAAAATAAATGAAACACAGGCAATCAGAAAAAAAAAAGTTACTAATTCAACACTCCATGGTAATGTCTAAACATCTTTTCTCTGGACTTGTTGTTAATAGCCGAGTTTGTCATCAATATCCACGAAGAAGCAACAGATTATGCTACATTCAAGCAAAACATGCAGGAGATCGGCGAGTTTTCGGATTCGTTCGTTGGAAACATTGATCGCCTTATTAAGACTATGCATCCAAAATATAAAAAGGCCGCAGAACCCGTTAAAGTTGACAAGATTGCTGAGAAAGACGAAAAAACACATCGCTTCCCTGGGTTGGCGCTACCCAATAATACTGAATGGGTAAGTAATTATAGGTCTTTTTCTTTTCTTAATATGGCTATAATGTGTGTGATATATCATTTTATTTGGACAGTGGTCTTACACACGTCTCTTTATCGACTTCCTTGCTTCTTATAATTCTTGTTCTCTCAGATTGCAAAGTTGGATGAAGACGATGAGCGAACCAAAAAAGAAGGAGGAAAAGGAAAGGCTAGTGAAAGCAATGGGAACGCTACAGATAACTTCTTGTCGGAATTTGAGAGTATGATTGAAAGCGCAAAAAAAGAGTCCAGGAATAGGAGTAGGAGTCGAAGCCCCAAACGCAGAAGAGTTCGTTCAAGATCAAGGGATGGATATGGTCGCGACCGTAGTCGTAGTCGAAGCCGCAGTTATAGTCCTCCTAAGCGAGATCGAGAGCGATTTGACAGGGGTCGATCAGGACTGGATGATGCACCCATTCTTTACAAAATCTATACTGGTAGAGTAACCAACATAAAGCCTTTCGGCGCATTTGTTGCATTAGATGGTATTCGAGGCAAAGTCGAGGGTATGGTTCATATTGGTATGTTACAAGCTGGGCGAGTAAACGAAGTCGCAGATGTGGTCAAGAGAAACGACGTTGTCAAAGTCAAGGTCATGTCTGTAACTTCGACTAGAATATCCTTATCGATGAAGGATGTGGATCAAAAGACGGGAAAAGATCTATCACCTCATTTGCGTGTTAGATCAAAGGAAGAGATGGCTCAGGACGCTGCTCGCAACCCAGACCGCCCTTCCTCGACCTCAGTACCGATCATTGAAGATGCTGATTCGAGAGTCTCAAGACTTAAGCGGATGTCTTCGCCAGAGCGGTTTGAGCTCAAACAACTCATCGCTTCTGGGGCTGTAGATTCCAGAGATTATCCCGAACTCGATGAAGACTATGGTGCTGGTAATATGGAAGCAGAGGAAGACCTGGATATCGAGCTTGTAGAAGATGAACCTTTGTTTTTGAAGGGACAGGCACGCCATGCTCTAGACCTGAGTCCTATCAAGGTTGTTAAAGCGCCTGATGGGACCCTGAACCGTGCGGCCTTGTCAGGGGCAGCACTAGCAAAGGAACGAAAGGAAATGCGTCAGTCTGAGGCGAATGCAGAGTATGACTCAGTACCCAAGGACATCAACAAACCATGGCTTGACCCTATGCCAGAACCAGGAGAGCGTAATTTCGCACAAGATCTTCGAGGAAGTGCTGCCAGCAATAAAGCAGGACAGGTCCCAGAATGGAAGGCGAATACGTTCGGAAAAGCAACGACGTATGGCAGGATTACAGACTTGAGTATACAACAACAACGAGAGTCACTTCCAGTCTTCAAGTTCCGGAAGCAGTTCATAGAGGCCGTAAGGGAAAACCAAATCTTAGTTGTTGTCGGTGACACAGGGTCTGGTAAAACAACACAAATGACGCAGTATCTGGCAGAAGAAGGCTTTACAGCAAACGGGCGCATTGGATGTACGCAGCCTCGCCGCGTCGCCGCTATGTCTGTTGCCAAGCGTGTTGCCGAGGAGGTAGGATGCCGATTGGGCCAGGAGGTTGGATATACGATTCGTTTCGAGGATTGCACTAGTCCTGAGACTAAGATCAAATACATGACAGATGGAATGTTGATGAGAGAATGTCTTGTAGACCCTTACATGTCACAATACTCGATCATCATCTTGGATGAGGCCCACGAACGCACCGTCAGTACAGATGTCTTGTTCGGGCTCTTAAAACAGACAGTCCGGAAAAGAAAGGATTTAAAGATCATTGTCACATCTGCCACTCTTGATGCGGAGAAATTCTCGACATACTTTTATGATTGCCCTATTTTCACTATTCCTGGTCGTACCTATCCGGTCGAAATTCTTTATACCAAGGAGCCTGAATCAGACTATTTGGATGCTTCATTAATCACTATCATGCAGATCCATTTATCAGAGCCTGCTGGTGATATCCTCTTGTTCCTAACGGGTCAAGAAGAGATCGATACTGCGTGTGAAATTCTTTATGAGCGCATGAAGGCGTTGGGACCGATGGTACCAGAGCTGATTATCCTTCCTGTTTACAGTGCATTGCCCTCTGAAATGCAATCCAGGATTTTTGAGCCTACACCACCGGGAGCACGTAAAGTTGTTATCGCCACCAACGTTGCTGAAACCAGTATCACCATCGATGGTATCTACTATGTGGTAGATCCGGGATTTGTAAAACAGAATGCGTATGATGCCAAGCTCGGAATGGACTCTTTGATCGTTACACCTATCTCGCAGGCCCAAGCCCGCCAACGCTCTGGACGAGCAGGACGAACCGGACCTGGAAAATGCTACAGACTGTACACGGAAGCAGCCTATCGTAACGAGATGATGCCCAATCCGGTGCCTGAAATTCAACGTACCAACCTTGCCATGATTGTGCTGACACTAAAGGCTATGGGTATCAACGATTTGATCAACTTTGACTTCATGGACCCGCCTCCAGTACAGACCTTGTTGACAGCTTTGGAACAATTGTTTGCGCTGTCAGCATTGGATTCTGAGGGACTACTGACACGTCTCGGACGTAAGATGGCTGTCTTCCCTATGGAGCCTCCCTTGGCTAAAATGTTGATCTTGTCGGCGGACTTGCATTGTTCGGAAGAAATTTTAACGATCGTCTCAATGTTGAGTGTTCAAAGTGTCTTCCATCGGCCCAAGGACAAACAAGCGCTCGCAGATAGTAAGAAAGCCAAGTTCCATCAACCTGAAGGCGACCATTTGACATTGTTGACAGTATATAACGCATGGAAGGCTTCTAAATTTTCGAACCCATGGTGCTTTGAGAACTTTATTCAGGCAAGAAGCATGAAGCGCGCACAGGATGTCAGGAAACAACTTCTTGGATACATGGACAGATATAATCAGGACGTAGTTTCCTGTGGAAAGAATTACACTCAGGTCAGACGTGCTCTTTGTGGAGGATTTTTCCGCCATGCTGCCAAGAAGGACCCACAGGAAGGATATAAAACGCTTGTAGAGGGTACGCCTGTGTATATCCACCCAAGTAGCTCGCTTTTCAACAAAAATCCTGAATGGTAAGCTTTATCTATTATTATTAATCGAAAATAATAATAATAATAATAATAATAATAAGGACTGCGGGAAGAACTATATACTTCATGTATCATTTGTTAACCAATTGTTTTACAATCTATGGTTTATATCGCTAATGTGTCATTAGGGTGATCTATCACGAATTAGTCATGACAACCAAGGAGTATATGCGAGAGGTCACAGCAATTGAACCAAAGTGGCTAACAGAAGCAGCCCCAACGTTCTTCAAAGTTGCTGACGCAAACAAGATTTCTCGGCGTAAACGTCAAGAGAAGATTGAGCCGCTGTTCAATCGCTACGAGAAGCCAAACGAGTGGCGTCTCAGTCGTCTCAAAACAGGAAGCCGTGTCTCACAAACTTTTTAACTTCGTCTTTTTTATTTTATGTAATGTTCACTCATAAATGACACTAAATTGGTAATAAAATCTCTCCTCGTACACGTGACGAGTTGATCACTTACTAGCATAACCTCAAAGTCAGGGACAAACTTCAACTTCATTCTTTACCTCTTTTGCCGTTTCTCACCATGTCAAACGATCAGGCTGTGAAGGACATTATAGCGTATGTCAAGTTTTTCCAAGCTTAATTTCTCAATGACATGTTCAGCAACCACGATCATTCTAGCTCAACTTTTTTAACCTGTGGATTCACATTTAATTTCAATAGACCTTTGGAGAATGCCTCCATTGCTTCCGAGCAAAAAACTGAGCAAGTTGGTGAGTAGTGAGGAGGATTGAATTTCGATATGTTATGTCCCTTTTCTCACACCTCCCAAGCAATCCAGCATGATATGACTTTAGTGCCTTTTTTTTATTTCTTCTGACGCCTTTTGTTTCTAAAACAAATAATGATCAAAAAACAGTTGATCCCTGGAACGTTCAAGGAGCAATTGTGGATGGCAAGCAAATGGGAATCGACTATGATCGTCTAATCGAATCCTTCGGCACCCGTAAAATTGATGAAGCAATACTGCAGCGTTTGGAAACCTTAACAGGTCGCAAGCCCCATCCTATGCTCAGACGTGGTTTGTTCTTCTCGCATAGGTATTAAAAGAAGAAAAGAAAGAAAAAAAAGATATTGACTTTTTTTTATTCATGACTCGACAACAATGAAAAAAGGAGAGAAATTGTATCGACTTAACAGATGTGGACACATGGCTAACGCTTTGATTTTTTTTTTTTTTTTTTTTTTCCTCTGATTTGTGTAATCTGTAATCCTTTATACTTTATCTTATCGCAGAGAGCTAAACAAAATCTTAGATCGATATGAGCAGAAGCAGCCCTTTTACCTGTACACTGGACGTGGGCCTTCCTCGGACAGTATCCACTTGGGTCATATGATCCCCTTTATGTTTTGTCAATACTTGCAAGAGGTCTTTGACTGTCCTTTAGTTATTCAGTTGACTGGTAATGCTTTTCTTTTCTTTTTTTTCTTTTTTCTTTTTTTTTTTTTTTTTTTTTTTTTTTTTTTTTGACTTGTGCGTACTTTGCTTATAGGCAACATGATATTTTAAAACGAAAAGGCTCCAATCGCCAATTATTAATTTTTGGCCTTCTTTTCCATTTTCATTCAATGTTATGGATACAGATGATGAGAAATTCCTATTTAAGCCCAACCTCAAGCTGGAAGAGTGCATCAAATATTCGGAACAAAATGCCAAGGATATCATTGCTTGTGGTTTCAACCCAAAAAAGACTTTTATCTTTTCTAATCTCCTTTACGTTGGGTAAGTCTTCTATTATTATTTATTTTGGCGATCAGGGATATCAACAAAGAAGATACAACTAAAGCCCTTATATTGACTCGTTGTCTTTATGTCTATTTCTTATTGTTGATACCTTTTATTTCAAATAGCGGTAAATTTTATCACAATGTTGTTCGTATCTCTCGTTGCATCACCTACAGCATGTCCAAGTCAACGTTTGGATTCAATGATAGCGACAACATAGGCAAGTCTCATTTTGTCTCTATCCAGGCAGCACCTTCGTTCTCAAATTCTTTTCCCGAGATTTTCGGAGATCGTTCCGATATCCCCTGCTTGATTCCTTGTGCAATCGATCAGGATCCTTACTTCCGATTGACACGAGATGTCGCTCATAAGCTCAAGTATCCCAAACCTTCATTGATCCATGCAAAGTTTTTCCCTGCCTTGCAAGGTCCCGGTACAAAGATGAGTGCCTCTGTAGATAATTCTGCGATTTTCATGACTGATACGCCAGCTCAGATCAAGAATAAGATTAACCGCCATGCATACTCAGGCGGTGGAGCCACTCTAGAGTTGCACAAGGAGCATGGTGGCAATCCAGACGAGGACGTACCATTCCAATACCTCTCATTCTTCTTGGATGATGATGAGGAAGTGAATACAATTGAGAAAGCCTATCGTGCAGGAACTCTTTCATCTGGAGACCTCAAGAAGCGCTGTATTGAAGTCCTGCAGAAATTTGTTGGCGATTTTCAAGCTGTAAGTTTTTTCTTTCTTCTTAATATTCTTAATATTAGGCTTCAAAAAATTATGCGCTTGTGTTAACATATAGTTTTTATGTGCATATTTGATAATTTTAGCGCAAGGCTGCTGTCACTAACGAGATTTTGAAAGAGTTTATGACTCCCAAGGAGATGGGTATCACTTTTCCGACCAAGTAAACTATGAGTGTACAGATTTTAGTATTTCAGGACTAGTATGACATCTAGTACTAGTACTAGAGTTGAGTACTAAAGTTGGAAAAATTTATTGATTTTAGTACTCCTGCGTACTAATGTTGGAGAATTTAGTACTTCAGTGCGTGGCTGATTTTTTTGTCACTCTTTAGATGCATGTCACGGGAAAGATGTCTAGCAAACATACAAACCCCTTTCCACAATTGCAAAGTGTTCACAAAACCTACCTGTTGTCGAATTCTTCACACATAAACAAATTGTATATACAAACTAACTGAGGACGGTATTAACCGAACTATTTATACTTGCTATAATGATCAGAACCCAGAACCAAGTAAACGTCCGAACAGACCTATCCAAAAACGAGGGAGCTTGTCGCTCTCCTTCAAATATAAATGGTTTACTTAACAAAAATCTTATAATTGAGAAGGACCAACAAAAAAGAGCAACAAGCTGCAAATAATACAAAAAACCACTTTTCTCTCCTGGTCTAAAATTAGAAATTAAGTTTGCCGCACAAAACTAATGTAAAAAAATGGACTTACAAGACTTCGACAGCTAGATTATCGCAAATAGTAAAATAGGCTATTGCTGGATGTATATCGATTATAGAAAAAATGGATGAGGTATCGGGGGATATAAGGCTTTGGTACTTACAAAGCAAGGATTTTTTGGTCTTAATCCTTGAAGTATTTATGGAATTATTGCCGTTTAAAGGTTATAAAATGGTCGAAATGAGGTTCAATGTCAAGCCAAAGTGTCTGCCTTTCCCTCAAAAATACATCAAAGCGCTTTTCCACATAGTATATGATAGATACGTTACATAGCTTTGTATAGAGTCTTAGTTTTCCAAAATCCAAGCATTTTTCATAGACTTTACTTATAGCTGAAGAGAGAAATATATCATTTTTTAGGGATTTTTCGGTTTTATTCATTAAGGAACTTCGGATTCCTTTTATAAGAACACGTATGGTCCCTTAGTACATTATATTATGCACTACATATTCTTACTTTTTGGAAAGTTTGGTCAGTTTTGGAAATATTCTGATGGTTCTGCAATATTTTGTCTAAAAGCTAGACAATTTCCGTAGAAACCTTGACTTCAAGATGCCCTAGTTCTCAAACTTTTGAATATAAACATTTTCAATTTTTACCCAAAATACAATTTCCTGTTTTGAAAGATATATTTTCGGTTGCTTTATCGACTCTAGAAGTTTCAACACGTTTGGGGCCGAAATGAGGGACTTTACTATAGAGTATCTGGTTTTCTATGGATCCTGAGAACGCGAATATGCGTATATGGAGCACTCAGGCACTTTGGGAGATGAACCCCGTAAATGCATATTAGTATTATTTCCATCCCCGCCCCGAGCGCCCATTTTTTTTTGATAGCACATGGAAGTGATACTAGACATTCATAAACAAAGATGCAAGTGATACTAACACAAGAGTTGACATTCATAAATAAACATGCAAGTGATACTAACCTAAAACTTACCCGCACAAACCCCATGGAAAGTGATACTAAGATCTTCTTTCCATGATACTAAAATGTGGCTCGCACAAATCCAATGCAAAATGAGGTTGAATATTTTATGAGTGTACAGATTCTAGTATTTCAGGACTAGTATGACACTAGATGAAGAAGAGGGTCGACTAATAGGCGTTGTAAAATGGGTAGTAGAAGGCACATTTATGGCTCCTGCTATATATATAAAAAAAAATGGATGTTAATGGTCAGAAAAATAAATAAATAGTAAATGAAATAAGCATATGATCGCGTTATACCTGATGCCGCCGCTGCTGGTAGTTGGGCAATGACGTGAATCGTTTTTTTTGAGGAATAGCCTCGAATTTGTCCGAGACGAGGTCATCCGACTCTTCCAGTTTCTGTGGTAGCATGTTCTTCGTGTCATCGCTCGTTCGATTGTTGAGTCTAATTGTTCTTGCCGGGGAAGAAGGGGTAGCGATACGCCAGAGGATGAGGTCGCTTGCGTCTATGTCACTTAAAGTCTTTGACTTCTCCTTCTTGATGGCCTTTTGAGATCATCTACATCGTCATCTAGTGCAATTGTGACTTTAAACGCGGTTGAATCGCCGTCGAGAATGCAAAAAAGCTTAATTTCTTTGCTTGTCATCTGATGTAATTGTACGCTTATAAATTGATTTAGGTGTTATAGGCAGTGATCTGGTTATTAAATGTGGAGAGTGGAGGTACCAATGTTATTGTGATGAAGAAGAGCGAGTAGAGGAGAGAGAGAGAAGAGAGAGAAAAAAAAAAAAAAAAGGCCACAGGAATATGTTTATTTTTTTTGATTAACACGTACATCGCCTGTTACGTACGGGGCAAATTTACGTCATCATTTTGCTTTTGTCTTCACCTTTTCCATCCATCCCCTCACAGTATCTCTCTCTCTCTCTCTCTCTCTACAAAGAAAATGGCCAGTTAGGGTAAAGTAATTTGATGGTCTTCTAGTTCTTTCCAATTTGGCGTCGTACAGAGGGTAAATATACTGTGAGGCCCCGCTTCATTCACTCCAGCTGTGTACCGCTGGTCTCAGCCGAGCGGTTGAAGTGGCTGCAGCAGTGCCCATTAGTTTTTACAGGAATATTTATTATCACAATGCTTTATTACATGTACTTACTACTTTTTTACGATTAGCTACATCTTCAATTCCACAAGAACACCTGGAATGGCTCATGGAAAAATCTGAGGGCATCGAGCATGTCTCATTGGAAAACTTCGTTAATAAGTTCGAACTTAGTCATCAAGAGTCAACGACGGATGCATATCAAATACTCATATCCTATCATAATATCCGTAAAAACAGAAAACAAAGACTGCAAGAGGCCTTTGAAATTTTTCGCCAACATCACGAAGAAAGGTTTTGGGCCAAACTGGAAGTTACAGTTAACTCAGAGGTCGTAGCTAATCGGGCATTAGTCTCGGCACAAACTTTTGGTCAACGACAGTCGAAGACCATTCTTGACCAATATATATCATCATCAACAAACGACATTAAGACAAAGAGTGATTTATCAGGTATTATTATTATTATTATTATTATTATTATGTTATTATTATTATGTTATTACTATCATGTTATACATGTACTATTATGTTATTAAGTTTTTTCCTATACTTCAAATATTCTAGGTATTAATAGTAACAGCGAAAGGAAGCGCAAAACAGGTTAGTTAAATGTTTTTATCATCGTATTCTCAGTACAGCAATCAAACTAATAGTAAAAATGAACTAATATAGACAAGCTAGGAGATGATTTAGTGGCAAAGAGCGCTACAGATAGCTGTCTTGAACATTGTTCTCACAATCCTGTTATTTTCCTTTTGTAGATAATTCTGGGTCAACCACAGATCAAACGATGGGTCGTGCTCACAAGGAATCAAGAAGGGGTGAGTAACATAGTTAGCATTGTTAAGCAATCCATTGTTAGAGGTACAGATATATTAACAAGCCTTCAACGAAATTCGCCAACTTTTTATATTAGTATCCTTTGGTCGTAGTCTCACACTGGCAGATCGTAAGTAACTCTAAACTATTTTCTGATTGGATTATGTTTTTCTACTTTATGCTAATATCTGTGATTTTTATTATTTAGTTTCCACCAACAATAACTCAGCGATCAATGGTGATGAACGTTCGGAAAGATCTCTCCAGTCAACCTTTTCTCCTCGGTCCTCTTTAGCATCACACCTCATCTCCTCCGATTCCGGGGATCTAAGCTTCAGCACCCAAGAATCTACCCAATCATCATCTAGGATATTTTCGTGGGATTTTTTGGATGGTGGAGGGTGGATTGACTCAAAAGTCGACAGCCACTGGGTCCACAAGGGGATATCCATTAGTACCGACTTGATGAAGTTCAGGATACGGACTGTCCAGGACAATGGTGGGTTGACAGAGCCACACCAAAAGTTGTAAGTAAGACTGTTTTTGAAATCTCAGGGTGCTTAGGATAATTTCACTCAAGCTACCCAATTGAATACAACTAACAACCTTGTATCATTATAAACCTCTTTTAATTCTTTTTTGTAGAGCTGTAAACTTCATTTTCTTAGTTGGAGAGGAATATCAGACTGATGGTTTACAAGGGGAAGTCAAAGATAGCACTTGGGAGGCTATGTGTGATGCTATAAAAGATCCCATCCAACCACTTTCAGAGGACGTTTCTATGGAGGCCCTTAAATGGTTCCATAGGATGGCAAATAATAAGATGGAGTCATTTGAGCAGATGTTGGAAGCTTCCCTGCCTTCAGATCCTAATCTCAAGTCTGTTCTAAGAAACATTGCCAGTAATACCCAGTACTGGAGCACCCAAGCACGGAATGAAAACACATATTTGAAAGCGTTGCTTGGACCCCTCCTTGAAGCCTATTTTGGAAAAATAAAATATGCCAGAAGTGACTGGTAAGATTCTTGACTTTCATGCAGGTGACCGACAGTGTACAGGATTAAACTAATCGTGAACAATTCTTTAGGACTCCAACCCAAGATGACACAAGGGATGCAGAGACATCCACACTCATCCCAGATTATGGGACTGCTACGTCGATCGGAAAAGAGCAATATTATGCTCTGTTGCTGGAAGGAAAGATCGCAAGGAACAGTGGACAGCATCAGATGTGGGATGATCTCACAAAGTTGGGGAATGAGATGAAGCTTGCACTCAACTCAATCCTGAAGCTATCTCCTTCTGGGGAAGTTTGTGTTGTGGGGATCCTTGTACGAGGTATGCGTATCATTGTTTCTTGGTGTTTTTAAGTATCTTGTCTATTATTAATTCTCTCTGATTTATTTTTATTAATAGAACCATACATTGAGTTCTTTTCGATGCAAATTTGTGCAGAAGGTACATGTACATATATTATGCACAAATTTGCATCAGCCTTCATTCCCTCAGGGGCATCTAACCCATTCCCTCTTTTGCGTCTCATGGAGATTTGTGAGCATGCAAAGAAGAAGGTCGAGTGGTGTATCCACCAGATCCGCTTGGTCAAGTTCGAAGAAAGCTTGAATCCAAAGGTGGACCTGTCGTGGCTTCGACCCTCCTTTAACAAGCCTAAGCGCTATCAGGTCACCGACAGAGCATAGGGTCTTTTGCATGTTGTCCAGTGTCATTGTAGGTTGGTAATAGAGTGTAAGTCCTGTTCTAATATGAGATATTTTATTAAAGCATAGCAAAATTCAAAGGCATGCATTAAGCGGAGTGATTACCCTGGGTTCTTGAGTGTGATGAATACCGTGTAGACGTCATCAAGGAATATTGTATATAATAAAATATCTTTTTAATTAATACGAGCCGGAGACCGTGGCGAAGCCACGGTCGGCTCTTGCCTCGTTAGAAAATTTAATGCTTAGCCTCGTAAGACAACAAAAAGAAACATTGTCTACAGCAGCAAAAGGTTTATATTTTGACATAGGAATGAAGACAATAAACTCACGTAGGCCTTTGGCCTTTTACTACTGTAAAAATTATGTGTAAACTGCATGTTTTTTTTATTACAAAACTAAAATACAAAGCTAAAATACAGAACCAAAATACAGTAGATAAAACGCAATAAAGTAGAATACAAAATATACAAAATATACAAAATAAAATACAGACGAAACTACAATCAAGAGGGAGAATATCTGATAATCACAACATTTGATAGATTAACGACGGCGAAGAGGTAACGCAGTAAATGGCAATCAAAAGACAATGTGGCTATAAAGCATCATTGAAGACAATGTTCCGTGTGTATGTTCCTAGCCTATCTCTTACCTTGCCGTTCGCGATAAGTACCTTAAGATTATTTGGGTCTGTACACCGTGACAAAGCAACGTAGAGATGACCATGACTGAAAACATCTTGAGGAAGATAAACACCAATATGTTTGAGTGTCTGTCCCTGGGACTTGTTGATGGTCATGGCGAAGGCAGGCTTGACTGGAAATTGTCGTCTGCAGAACATGATCGGAGAAGAATGATCATCAAGTGTCGTAAGCGGTATGTGAGGAATGAAGACACACTCTCCTTGAAATTGTCCTTTCATAATGTCGACCTGGATCATTAATGCACGTACAATCATGCGAGTACCATTACATAGTCCACGCTTTGGGTTCAAATTGCGAAGAAGGATGACGGGCTGACCAACCTTTAGCTCCAGTTTAAACGGAGGCAAGCCTGGCGGGGAGAGGTTGTTCAGGTATTCCACAGGATAGTGAGCCGTAGCTGCTGCTTCGGGGTCTTGAAGGCTATCTTGACCAATATAACTGACTGACTGCTGGGTGCTACAGAGCATACTGGTGGCTAGTTGATTCAGTTTATCGACATCCTCATTAGGGGGACTTAAGATAGCGCGCTCAATGAGCATCTCAGGAAAGTGACAACAGAGACAGGGATAGTAGAGGGGCGGCAGGGACTGAAGATGTCAGCGACTTTTTTTTTTTTTTTTTTTTTTCAATCTTGAAGGACTTCTTGGTACACAATATTTCGCGTGTATTTACAAAGATCCCTTGAATCACCTTTGATAAGTACCTTCAAATGCTTGGGGTCTGTACAGCGAGAAAGAGCCACATAGAGCTGGCCATGACTAAAAACAGACCGTGGGAGGGAGGTATATGCCAACATTCTGAAGAGTTTGTCCCTGAGCCTTATTGATGGTCATGGCGAAGGCAGGTTTCAAAGGGAAATGGCGCCGCTGGAATATGACTGGAGACGATCTATCATCAGTTGCATTGATATTGATTCGAGGGATGTAATGGATCGCTCCTTTGAATATTCCCGTCATTACTTCAGCTTCGATGACTTTGTTTCCAAGTTTATGCACAATGAGACGCGTACCGTTACAGAGACCTTCCTTTGGGCTCAGGTTCCTTATGCGAATGATGGGCTGACCGATCTTTAATTGCAGTATACTGGGAGGCATTCCGGGAGGATTTAAAGAATTAAGAAATTCCACAGTGTATGTTGCTGCTGCTACTGGGTCGTCAATATCAGGGATGGAATCTTGCCCATGATAGACCTTTGGAATGGTATGACTTGAAAATATCTCTGTTGCCCAAGCATTTCGCAGAGCGTAGGCCATGTATATATGTGTTTCTCTACATTATTATTTTAGAAAACTAACACGATATGCAATGGTCCTCTTGACTTGATTATAGTCATGTTTCTTAGCACTCATGGCACAAGTTAGATTTGTCTGTAAGGGAAGAGGAGCTAAAGTGGAGAAGGAAGGTTTCTTATAGAAAAAAAGCGCGTTCCATATGAAATATCAAACATTTCACAGGAGCATTGTCATTGTCATTGCACAGACCATGTTTCTCTATGAAAATTAATTTGTTAAAAAATAAATCTCTTTGTTTTCTAACAGTCATGTTTCTGTCATATATTTTTATCATGCCACATGAATGTATCGACACTTGAAGGAATTCATGTTTGAGGTTAAAGCATATGATATGATCAAGGCTTATAGGTAGTGTTTGAAGGAGCTCAATTGTTGTTTTATTATTATTACTATTATTATTATTATTATTATTATATAAAATAAAATTCTTATTATTATTTTTATGCATCAATGGTTCAATGGCTGATGGTAGAAGCAGGCCATGATTGAAGGCTGATTATTTTTTTTTTCAATGCATCATGATTGAGATGATTGAGATGATTGAGATGATTGAGATCTGGTTGGTTATTATTTGTAATGTAAAGCCCAAAGTTGCGCTCTCATGATGATCGCTCATAATCATGATTGAGGTCACATGATGATTGGGTCACATGATTGAGGTCCGATGATTGAAGTATGTATGCTCATTTCCTGAAGGGCACATGAAAATGGAATGATATGAAATGAAAATGGAATGACATGAAATGAAAATGGAATGACATGAAATGAAAATGGAATGACATGAAATGAAATGAAATGAAATGGAATGGAATGGAATGGAATGGAATGGAATGGAATTTATTTTAGATTTATGGACGGACGTATCATAGAGCAAGAATTATGAAACTATGAAATGAAATATATCATATAATAGAGCAAGATCTATGAAATATATCATATAATAGAGCAAAGATCTATGAAACGAGTTATTACGATAAGGGAGAAACCATTTCGACTTTAGTATAAAGATACTCATACTGCGTCTAGTATCACTTCATCAGAAAAAAGAGCGCTCGGGACGAGGGTGAAATTGATATTAATATGCATTCATGGGATCCATCCCTGCAATGCTCTCAGAGTGCCTGAGTACTCTATATACGTACATCCGCGTTCTCAGGAATCATAGAGACCAGATGGTCTATACGACAGGTTTTGTGAAGAGGGATGGTGAGTTTGGATACTTTGCAGCTGTGGAAGCGGGATTGTTTTTGTTATTTTGGTACGCAGTACGAGTATGTCATACTAAATTTTCGTTATTTTGGTACGAAGTACTAGTATGCCATACTAGACACCTGATACTAAAATCAATACGATCGTAAACTATTAAAAGATTGACAGAGAAAAACAAATACGCAAGCTATTTTTTTTTTTTTTTTTTTTTTTTTTGTCTATCCATTTGTAGACGTGTAGACTAAGAGTAACAGAAGAACAGATAAACAAATAAACGTTTTAAGCATGCCCTATGATAATTTTTTTTTGTTTTTTTTTTAAAAAAAAAAAAAAAAAAGTAAAAATATTCGGTCTACTACACATCAATAGCCTTCTATTTTATTACTTCTATCCCATGCTTCCTTTTTTTTTATTTTTTTCATCCAATGGTTCTACAGACAATTTTCAACTTCCTGTTTTCGTTTCTTTACTTCTGCAACTCGCCAGCAGCAAATAGCTTTCCTAACGTTGGTCCAGCGAATTGGTTGATCTGTTTGCAGTAAGTGTCGATCTGTCCCGAAATCAGGAGATGATCCAAGCGGCTAGGCTCAGCTGGGAGCTTGAACATCGCATCCACATCCTCATTAGGAAGAGGAGCCTGACCAGCCTGAGCGCGACGTACGTTTTCAGTTTTCTTTTTTTTTTTTTTTTTTGTTAAAGTTGAAAATAGGTCATATCAAAATAAAAAGAAAGGATATTGTCAGAAGCAATAGAATAAAATTAAAAAGAATATAAATATGATAGATGTGAAAGTAATGCAATAAAAAAAAAATACATACTCTGTTGGCGAGATAAGCAGCCTTCTTCTTGTTCTCACGCTCAACACTGCGTTGCCAGTAAGCATAATTGCCCTGTTCCTGTTGATGATCTTCAATCGTATCCATCAAGTTTTCCAAGTTCTTGGCCACATAAGGATCCAAACTCAAGTCGAGCATATCGAAGCTAGGTGTCAGTACTGACTTGTTCTTCTTCTTGGTGGCGTTGGTTAGGGTGCTATTTTTGTAAGTGGTCAAGTGTGATGTTGAGATCTCTGCAGTCTCATTCGGAGTCTCAAGTTCAAAGAGGAGAGCGTTCAAGAGAGCGGTGTTGCGGATTGTAATAGGAAGTTCCTCAAAGATGTTGGAGAACGTCAACTTGGCCTTTGCAAGAGCTTCAGTGGTGAATTTCTTTTCCTTGTAAAGCTTCATGAACGAGGGAGTCAGACGAAGTGCACGAAGGTTAAGGTTACCCATGGATGAGCGAGCAACATCTATGGCATATTAATAACGATAACAGTAATAAAGGTATGATGAAAATCAGATATAAAAAAAAAAGCTATGCCTCTGAATTGCTACACTGTCGTGCCGGCGTTTTTCGTTTGTCGCTTTGTTGCTTTATCGTTTGTTGCTTGTCACTTGTTGTTTTTTTTTTTTTCTTTTTTTTTTTTGCCTACCGTGAATAATAAGGACAGACTTGTTCAAAGCCTGTTGGAACTCAAACTGATGCTCGATCAAGGATTGGTTCATAAAGTTACCCAGATGAGCCGATTGGTACCAACCAACCGAATTATCATCAACATTGACCTCACGGAGACAGCGCATCATCTGCAACTGATATTGAGATCCTTCATAAAAAAATAAAAAAAAGGGGGAAGGTCAGTCGTTCAGCTTTGCTCTCTCGCAACTAATATACATCTAATCGACTTGATCGATGCCGTTGCCCCCATTATTTTCATACCCTCAAAATCCTCGGACTCTTGGTTCTTAGGCATGGGGAACGAGTGAGTGACCTCGAGGACGCCATTGACATCCAAACCCATCAGCTGACCAGTGACAGTTGAAGGGGCAAACTCACGACAGTGCTTGACAATCTTGAGAACGACCTGAGGTTGATATGAAGTTGTATACACATTATCCGCGTAGAATAAAGCGCGTTATTGATTAGCTAAGGTTTTGTCGACAAACACAAAGTGAACAAGATCCAGCGCAAGTCCTAGCACGGATTAAATTTGCAACTCCTGATGTGGACGTGTCACTTTTTTTTCAGATCCGATCGCTAACGATTTAAAGGTGTCATCTGTCGTCACTCCCTCTGCGTTGAACTATCAAGGTTGAGATTGACGTTCGAATCCAGTAACAAAGTGGGCGAAGTATTGATTACATGCGATCGTATGACATGTCCTGTCCAGTATCGACTTTTTCTTTTTTTATTTTTTATTTTTTTTTTTTTTTTTGTTGTGATTATTATAACTGTAGAGGTCATCAAGAATCGCTCATGAAAAGCTGCTCCAGTGTAAATAATCGATTTTTTTTTTTTATTTTTTTTATTTATTTCTTTTTACCATAGCATCGAGTTGGACGCTTTGGATAGGGACGGTGCCCTCAATATCCAGGGCAGCAGACAACTCCTTGTTGGTAGGCATGGTCGATGGATGCGTGTGGAGGATGGAGAAGAGAAAGGGGTTATGAAAAAAAAAAAAAAAAAAAAAAAATCAGGACATGCAATTTGAGTTGCCCTATTAATCATCTCTCCTCTGTCTGTGCATAATGTGAAAAAATAATAACAATTGGAACGCCACGCTTTCTATATAGTCACGTTATGCATATAAAGAGGATGAACCCTTATGCAGTCACATTTGTTTGTTTTCTTAAAAAAAAAAAAAAAGTATAGACAAAGAAAGCTTCAACAAAAAAGAGACAAAGAGAACAGGTCCAAGTTAGTTTTTACACCCATCTCCTCTCCTCGCCCTCTTCCATCCTCACTTTTTTTTTTTTTCTTTCGTCTTTTCATTTTATATAATACTGATCATGGATGTCTCTGGAGTACTTGAAGCTCACAAGCAAAAGTTTAAGTCAGTGACAGTAGAAGGAAAGATCATTCCTGTCGAATATGATCTCGGTCTTCTTGCTGCATATGACCAAAACCCTGTTGATGAAGGAGAGCTCAAGTAAAGCAAAAAAAAAAAAAAAAAAAAAAAAAAATAGACGACAAAGTGGAACGTTTCGTTACTTCGCTATTGAGGATTAACTACATAATGAACTATAGAAATAACCATATCCTTTTTCACGTCTCAAAATCACCAATATTCATACATTCATAGTAAGAACAAGGATGAATATCTTCAATCCCTCTCCCGCGACAACGCTCAACTTCTTTTCAATGAGATCTTTCAACTTCCAACAATATCCGATGACAATGGCGTGATGGCAATGCTTCCAACGCCTACAACTCTCTTACCCCGTGAAAAACCCTTGCCCAAACCCAAACCCGAGACCCGTTGGGAGAAGTTTGCTAAAGCTAAAGGAATTGTCAAGCGCAAGAAAGAAAGAATGGTCTTTGATGAAACTTCAGGAGAATATAAGCCTCGATGGGGATATAAAGCCATCAATGATGACGGAACCAAGGATTGGCTTATTGAGGTCCCTGCAGGAGCCAACCCAATGGATGATCAATACGAAGCTAGGAGAGAAGCCAAAAAGGAGCGGATTGATCGGAATGAGAAGCGTCACCAACGTAATATGGAGGAGGCTGCTGTGGCTTCGAAACTGGATCGAAAAACTGTCAACAAGGGTGAGCGTCCCAACATGGACAATGCTCGCGCCATGAAACGTAAAGAGTTGGAGAGCCAGATCTTGATCACTAAAAATTCAACTGCCAGTGTTGGAAAGTTTGACAAGGCCATCGAAGGTGACTTGAAACCCAGAGGTATCAAACGTCAGTTTGCTCCTACGATCACGGATCTATCAAAGGAGAAGGCTGGAAATATGAACATTCTTGATAAGATCGTCGGTAAAAATGGCGAAGATTTGGTGAATGTTCGCAAAGTAAGCTCTTTTTTTTAATATTATAAGGTTGGCATCTTTAGTGATATGATTTCTAACTTCTGGCATGTTCTCATTTTTCTTTGTCTTAACTCAAATTTCCCAGGCAATCAAGGCAACAAAGCGTCAGTAGAAATCAGGAACCCAACTCACCATTTCATATCATTTATTTTCATTGTAATAAATATATATCACATTGCATTGCTACCATACAATTCCCGATGATCCTTTTCTGTAACCGGACAAAAAAAAATTAAATGCAAGTAACGAAGCTTTCTTTATTTCATGATGATGCAGAAAGGTCACAGGAGATGTCAATCAAAGATCAAGCACTTTTTTTTTTTTGCCTTTTTTCAGATCATGGATGATCCTGCAATTAATGCGCCTCCCAACACTACAGAAAGGCTTACAAAGGCAACATAACGCCAGTTCTGTGATTGACTTGAATCACCAACTTCGAACGTATGATCTTCTACTCTTTCTCTTGCATGTGGTTGTTTAGAACCTTGCTGTTGGTGTAAGGTCTCGGTATTATTGTTATCTGTATGATCTGGTTGTATTTGTAGAACGCTTGGCCCCTCGACTTCAGTGCCTATTTCTACTTGCTGTGTAGATACTGAGTCACCTTCCGTCGCTAGAGTTGACGATGAATGATCCTTAGGTTCTGTCAACTCAATATTTTGTACATTGCCAAAAAAGTCGGTAAGCAGTGCCTATCATATTTTGTTTGAGATCACATTTTAGCATGTATGATTTCCTCCTAGAAAAAAGAAAAAAAAAAAAAAAAAAAAAAAAATACCTGATCTAGTGGCCGGTGAAAGAGGTCGGAACGCACGCCAGGGTTCGAATAAAGCAGTTTAGGATTATAAGTATCAAACTAAGCAAGGAAAAAAAAAAAGTGTAATTAAGAGATTAATATCTCAACTTGTTAGTCTTCAATGCCTTCCTTTCATCTACCTATTACATACTAGATCTTTAAGTGTCGCCTTCGACTGCATATCGATTTTTTCAAGGACTTCCAGGACGTAATAGGTGAATCTATCAACAACTGCTACTCCAATATCTGGGTCATCGTGATGCTAAAAGATAAGAAGATGGGATCAAGTCAGCTTTTTTGAAATACCCATCCTTGTCAAAGGGGGTTTTTTTTTCCGGGAAAGTCTTTATTTTTTTTTTTTACCGAGTAAGAACTTTGGCTGAGCTCACTACTACCGGTGGCCAAAATGTTGGGAGAGTGAATCTTGGTATACATAGTATTCGCCTGGCAGGTATCGATCATAAACAAAATCTCGTTGTAGCGCTTCTTCTCGTACATCTGTTGAAAAGCATCGCCTAGATCATAAGAGCTGATTTCCTCCGCATCTTGGAACTTCAAAAAATCTTCTCCTCCATGACCGGTCATGTAGACCAAGATATTGGATTGATCATCCGTCAAAAGACGTTTTGATCGTGGAGTTTCTTTTGCAACACGACCTATTCATAATAGATGCACATTAAATATAAAAAGAGGACAGCGAATTAATGACATGAAAGCTGTTTTTCTTTTTAACTCCTAAAAAAAAAAAAAAGCTACCTGTTAATAAACGAATGAAGTTCTCGACAGTGACTTCATAACCTCGATAGTCAACTTCAACATTTTCGCCATATAAATCCAAGTATCGACCTCGATTGTTGTAGACAGTAGCGGGGAAAATGTTGCGAGAGTTGCAGGCGACATCATCTGCAAGCATCATGATAATATTTGAGTCTGGGATCCCCAGTCGTTTCACTGTCCTGTACATGGCAAGTGTGTTGGCAATGTGGCGGTAATTGAACCAAAAGCGAGAAGTACAGACCTAAGAAAGATTAAAAGTCTTAGAATTATATTGGAAAGGATCGTGGACATACTAGTTTTTTTCTTTTTTTTTTTTTTCTTCAATATGAGCTAAATATTGAAGTAAGGCTGCGCATTTCTTTCTTCATACCAAAACTGCCCAGTTATTGGTGTGTCCACTCCTGGTTTTGTTGAAGAAACCTTCTACATTTTCCGTGCTGGTGTCAGTGGTGACTGATGCTGCCAATACTGAGGTGATGAATGCACCTATAACGGTTGTGATTGTGAGATGCTTGAGTATCGCCCTGGGTCGCATTTTTTAAAAAAATGAAAAGGTGTCAAAGATGAGATGTGCACATCTCCCTGTACTTCATTTGCCCAAAATGTGGCTTTGTTTCTACTTCAACCAAAGTGTGGCAAAGCAAAGAATGCTCTTTCTACTCTGTAGGATCAGCATTGAGACCAGCAGCGGCATCAACGCCAACCATCAACATCATGAACAGGGGAATAGGATTAGTCTCGTATGGCGGTGATTCAGACTCGGAGAGCTCGGACGAGGACACCCTCATGACCCCATCGTCATCATCAACAGCAATTACTACTACTACTGCTACTACTACGGCTGGTACGACTACTTTTTTCTCTACATTAACGCGATGAAATGTTAGGCAAGTTTTTAAACCCGATAGTTTCTTTACTCATTTATCACTCGGCCAATAGCATCAAGCAATAATTCACAAAAAGGTCAAGAAACAGCAGAATCCTCAGATAAGGTGTGTATCTTGGCGGATGTATTTTCCGATCTAGGAAAAAAAAAAAAAAAAAAAAAAAAAAAAAAGGCGGCCAGTGATCTTTCGTGGGTTTGCGGTACATCTAAACTAAAGACTTGTCGGACACTTTTTTTTTATCAATTCATTTCATTTTTACCTTCTCTCATAATTATGGGGCCATTTATTTACTTTAGAACTCTGGTAAAGATAATTTACAGAAAATTAAGATCATGAATTAGCACATAGTTATGAAAGACTGATCAATGGATGTTTACCAAAGGAAAAGAAAAAAGAAAAAAATACATACTTACCATATTTCCTTATTTTGTCTCTCTGTCTGCTTTAGAACGGCCGACACTGCAAGACACTATATCAGCACGATCTCTCGTTGGATCGCGATCTTCTGGAAGTGAATCCTTAAACAAAATTGCCTCTACCAATCTTTTACGTCAAGGACTAGTTTCATTATCTTCGGAAAGCAAGCAAGGCGACGATGTATCGGCGGCGACTACAGAAGAATCTGGAGCTACATTACCTCATTCATCATTCATTAAGTCACAATCAGGGACGCCGCTTCCAGCAGACCACAGTGCAGCTGCAGATGTCTTGAATACACCGACAAATGGAATGAGTCCACAGATGTCTCAGATGGAGCGGATTCCTATCACTGGCGAAGCGCATGGTACAGAACAAAGCAAATATTCAGGTGATAATGGCGAGGATGTAGATATGGATGATCAGCAAGATATCCGCCTGGACCGAGCTGCGTTAATGAGGTCGTTGCTTCGACCAAAGCCAATCCCAGGTATTGAAAACTATGGTATTCCTCCTGAACCTGAAGGTGAAGTCAATCCAGATGTTCAGGTAAAAAAAAAAAAAAAAAAAAAAAAAAGATTTATAATGCTAAATGAAGTACCTTTACGTTATCAGCTAATTTCTTTTATATATATATATATATATATAGAGTAAAATAGAACAATATCAACATGTTAAAATGACTCGTGGGATCACCTTTAACCATTCACTGATGAAAAACAAAAACTTTCGGAACCCACATATCTATGCGACATTGGTTGATGTGGTGGCTCTGAACGAGGTTGGATCCAATTTTGACAAGGATATGGAGTTCTTTGGCTTCGAAAGTTATCCACCCGAATCATATGCCACTGGAATTGGTAAGTAAAATATCACTTATAGGTGGATTTTTTTTTTTTTTTCCCAGTTCCAAAATTTGGTCCGTTCATGGATCTTTTTTTTTTTTTTTTTTTTTTTTTGTAAAACCAATTATACTTTTGAGATTACTTTTGATTAGAGTCCTGACACTGGTGCTGGCGCTGGTGCTGGTGAAAATGTACCATCGCTCTTTGACTCGAGGAGAAACACTGGGCATCACATGGACTGCTTTATGTTTCTGCTGTGCAAAAAACTATTTTTATTTTTGTGTGTGACAAAAAAAAAGTTCCTGAAGTGCAATTGAGAGCAATGTCAGTGTTGAGAAGGGAGTCTGTCTTGTTTATGCTAAGGTTTATTTGATGTTTAAGATTGTTTTGACCGCGCATGCGCAACGCGTTTTTCCACATGGGGGTCGGGCATAAGGAGAAAACTTTAGGAAGATTTGGTAGGACACAGTGTGTATTGTTGTTAAAAGAGAGGCAGATGGGATGGCTCCCCTTTTTATTCAAGGACAAAAATAGAAAGACGATCCTTATTCTAATTATTATTATTATTATTATTATTATTTATTTTTTAATGTAACATGATAGCTGAAACACAGAAGACAGCGATGGATAAGCTGGCTCAGCAACAGGCTGCAGGGATGCGATCGCATCTTCAATTTGTATCTGGAGGAGGAGGCGGAGAAGGAGGCGGGACCAGTAGTGCAGTGGGGGGAATGATCAGGTCACAATCCAATAATGCGAACGCCCCGATATCCACAGCATCTGCTATGGCATCTGCTGCTGCTGCTGCTGCTGCATTAGCAGCGGGAATGCAGCAACGAGCACGGAAGAGCAAATGGGATGTTGCTCAGTCCAGTGGGGCGGACGATTCGAATAGTAAACGACCCCGTCATTAAAATAAACAAAAGTAACAGTACTAATAATTACAATAAAAATGTAGTAGAGTTGGGAGAGTACATGAAGGCATGTAGCGTGTAAAATGTAAAATGTATTAACGCCATTAACATGACTCTGATATGAATATGAAACAGGCGTTCGTGCCTTAATATGTAAATCTTAATTCTCTTAATTATGTGATCCAGAACAGCAAAAGATCCGATGCATCACCATCTTTGTAAATTACCTTTTTACTGGAATGCTTGGGCTTGGTGGTTTACTTGTCTGATTAATGTGCAAAAGAAGGTTGTTGAATGCTCTCTGTCTTTTTTATTTTTTATTTTCATGAGCATGATCACAAGTATGAGCACATGCAACCGTGCTTACTTGAAAACATGCTTCTATTGACCCCAATATGCTCGCAATACTGTTTCAAGGAACATTGACCTAAGAGCGCGCTTCTTTTTCTTTGTTCTTGAGAGATTACTAAGAAACCGAAAGAAAGAGGACAATGTAACAAGCACTGTTGCTATTATTGGTCGCTTTGATGCCGTGCCACATAAACCAAAACAGGATTATCGCGAATGTGTAATGATCGTATATGTACATGGTTTTTCTTTTGTCATCGAGGGCTTGCCTATGTAGAAATGTGACCCTTTTGTCTAAAATTTTAAAAATTGATAGAATTCAAAAATTCAGGAGTAAATCGTAGAGAGGTGGTACACGATCAAACATAAAATGTACTCTTTCAGCATAGCATTGCCGCCGCTTGTTGAAATATAATTAAATAGATTGCAATTACGGCTAATATGAAGGAATGGAATGGTCTTTTTTTTTTTTTTTTTGCATTTCGGGGAAACAGGACAGGGGCTTTTGAAAAGTTAAAAAGAAAGAAAAAGGTTTTGGGCCCCTCTTTTCGAATACTCACCTCCCAAACAAAGGGGAGAGTAGCATAAAGTAAGAAAGAAAGATATTTACAAATGGTTGATATAACTATTCAATATCATTGGCATAAATATCATTGGCATATAATTGCTCTGAACATCGTTCTCAAACCACATTTCATTTGAAGCACCGAATCATATCTGAATGAAAAAAGTGCAGGGAACTAGAAAAATAGAGCACGATGACCATTTCACACATTTCAGATCTATTTTTGAGGTGGTAAGACATGGATTTATTAAAAGTTAATGGAAATGATCACGTAAAACTTTTAATAAATACATTAGCATCCTAGACTGGCTCTGATGCAAATGTACATGTATATACATGGTATTTTATAATCTATACATGTTTCATCAGTCTACATGTAACTTCCAGAAGCCATGAACCTCCCAAAGTAGCCGTTGATCAAAATAAAAGCTTTGCTTGTCCTCTGTTTCCATTATAAGACCATGTAGTAGCGAAATCAAGGGCTAATCTAAGATCCACATTGAAATCTGTTCATGATCCCAAGCCCTAAAGGACTATAGGGCTACAGCGTTAAAAGGAGAAGGAAAAAGACAAAGGGGATAGGTATAATGATGAATGTATATTATCGAAAAGATAAAACTGTAAACAAACAGGACATTGACCATCAGACAAGGCCAAGAGCTGAAGAGATCATAATGAAAATGGGGAAATGGGACTACAATTAAGAGCAACGACTTGAATGTATTGTTTTCAAACAAGTACATATCATTCATTCAGTAGAGCTTTATATCCACAACAGAGTATATTAAACACAACAGAGTGTTGTAACGTTGATAATGTCTTCCACACTCTTCTCGAGAGGTAGACAGCAATAAAGATAAAAACCACCATCCGTTTCCTTCGTTTTCTTTTTTTCCATCCTTCCTTGAACTTTTCCACCTTGTCGTCTTTCTTCGATCGCTTGCCTTTTCTTCAAAACTCCCATACTTCTTCTTTGTTTCGGTGATTTAGTATTTTATTATATTTTTATAATTTGCTTTATTTTGCTATTTGTCTATTTCAAGAGCTTGTCCCCTGCCTATCCATCTCCGATTTTTCTTCCCATTTCCATTTAAAAAAAAAAAAAAAAAAAAAAAAAAGGGGGCCCATTCATATTGGTCCATACATTCATTTTACGCCCATCGAACAACCTCCTCTCTTTTTGACCTTATCAGCACATCATGCTTCACGTAGCTACACCGATTACGAGTCATCTCCAACCGGAGACTGAGCACACCTCTGCAATCGCTCATGTCTCTGCTGCTCCTGTCCCTGTCCCTGTCCCTGCCCCTGCCCCTGCCCCTGCCCCTGTCTCTGTCCCTGTGTCTATTCCTGCTACTGTTTCTAGTACCTCTAGCATCGTGACCGGGTTCACGTCTGTTTACACAACAGTTGATACTAGCAGCATATTCCAGGGCCAGGATCAGCAGCAACTTTTTCCGCATAATGTGCAAAACATGATTGCACACGATCTAGGAAATATCTTGGCACAGCATCAGCGTACCATTGCTTCCTATTTTGTCAACAAGGAATCATCCACTCTAGCTTCGACCCTAAGCAAGGATCAGAATGCAAAACTATCAGATTTTTATTCCAGTTTTAAAATTGACGCTCCAACGGTCGTTTCCCTGCCCACCGCGCCGGCCTCCCCTTCAGACTCTGATTCTTCCTTACAACTTCAGGTTGATATCGACAATAAACTATCTCTCTCCGCCGAGCTTGGATCGTTTCTTCTGGAATCTGAACCTGCTCCTTCCTCATCTTCAAGCCCAAGCCCAAGCTCAAGCCCAAGCCCAAGCTCAAGTTCAAGCCCAAGCTCAAGTTCAAGCACAGGCACAAGCTCAAGCCCAAGCTCAAGCGCGTGTCCTACGCTTTCTTCCCAGAGGTATGAAGTCTTATGATGCTTTTTGTCCTACACAATGTCTCTATTTCTAACAAAAACAAAAACACAAACACAAAAAGCACATGCACAAAAAGAGAAACAAAAAGTCAGTTTGCCACTTTGATCTCGACTCAATTGAGCACCACCACAACAATACCACAATCCAATCGCCTGTGCATGCGTGTGTGTCTGTGCCTGAAAAAAAAAAAAAAAAAAAAAAAAAAAAACTAGTATTAATAGCTAATACAAATTATATATATAATCATAATCATATAATAATAGCGACAATGTCACTCCTTCCAATCTCGGCATTGCGACAAATCCCATCTCCACTATCAGTCCTTCCGCTACCGCTGCTACCGCTATCACCGTCACTGCCACTGCTACTCTTGAAGTTTCTGCGGCCACATCGATACCAACTACGTCCGCCACTACAGCCACAGTAGCAACAACAACAGCAGCAGTTCAACCAATTTATAATGCCTTGTCCGAATCCAAAGGAATCTCTCTTTCTTCTGTTTCTCCTCAGATCGAACAAAAAAACCAGCGTCAAATTAAATTTCAACACCATCAGCTTCAACAACGCTCATTATCCTTCTCTCATATTCCGATTGTCCCAAAAGCGATTCGTAGAACTTCTCGAGCTTCTACTCACACCGCCAAAGTATATCCATCTCCACCCCTTCTTCCCACCGTGCTCTCAGATTCCTCTTCTTCTACTTCTTCCGCAATTTATACAATGACCAGCACAGCCCAACAACAACAGCAGCATCAGCAACTCATGACCCCAGTCGTTTCCTACACCACTACGACCACAATAATTACAAACAGTACTGTGACTACTGACGGTGTTGATGACAGTAACCATACTTTCAACAGCGGTCCTTCCGAACCCTCTTCTTCTTCATCCTCTACTTCTTCACCCATATCTGCCATTACTTCATCCATGGCTACTGCTACTAGTTCACCTATGGCTACAGCTACTTCGTCTATGCCAACTGCCTCAGAACCCCATAAAACTTATCAACTCTATGACAACCCATTGCCAACATCACAAAGAGCATCAACTATGACACCGCCCTTGAGTATTACTCCCGTCAGTTATGATGAGCGACTTTCTTTGAAACCGATCCCACAAAAGTCTGAGGACTGGGGTGCACTAGTTGATACTCCAGAATCTCCTGTTCAGTTGCATCATCCTCGCTCCCATCATCAACATCATCGTAGCATTTCTGCGGCATTCGCTCCTTATCAACAGCAATTTCCTAGAGGACAGATCTTTAATCAAGAAGCCTATACGGCCTCCCCAGCTCCTGATGTATCGATGCCCTCGGGCGATTACATGCAGTATCAGCCTCAATCGTATTTCCCACAGTCATTGCAGCAGCAGCAACGACCACCTATGCCTATGCATTCCCAAACAGACCCTATCGCTGTAGCCCATCAACGTCAACCATATCAGTATCATCAACAACATAACTCAATGTCGGCTGTCCCTTTGAGTAACAATGGTAAGTCGAAATCTCGGAATCCTGTTGCCGTTCCTTTTTCCTTGTTCACTCATCCAATCCGATCTCTTTTTCTGTTTCATTTCAAAATTGACCCTTATGCCTATTTTTTTTTTTTTTTTTTTTTTTTTTTTTTTTTCGCTCAATAGGAACGATGGGAGCAAATGGGGGCTCTAACAATTTGGACGCGGACTCACGCAAGGTGTTCCGCAAGTCTTGGTCTGCAAGCGAATCGCCCGCCAACAATAGCTCTGGTGGCGGTGCCATGAATTCCCACGGATATATGACACCGCCACGCATGATGAGTGATAACTATTCAAGACCAGGCCAACCTTTGAAACACTCCTCTTCGTCTAATGTAGCAACATCGGTCTCACTCTTGACAGACGCAGCCATCCTGGCCAAATACCGTGAGACAGCGAACAAGACCAATGACCCTTCTATCCAATTGTCCTTTGCGAAATACTTGCTTGAGATTGGAGAGTCTCCTAGTGCAGGAGATCACCCAAGGCCATCCTCTGCAGCATCTGATGATACCCCTCCTTCGTCCTCGCCTCCTAGTCCCACACCCGGACAGCAGGACACAGAGACGGGTAAGAAGCAGTTGACTCAAGAAGGCATCTACTGGATTGATCGATTGGCAAAGGAAGGACAACCTGAAGCCCAGTTCATCCGTGGATCATGGTATGAAGAAGGGTTGTATGGGTGCAAGCAGAGCACAGACAAGGCATTGAGATGGTATCAATCAGCGTCAAAAGGCGATTATGGCCCTGCACATTATAAAGTGGGTTACTATTGCGAGAAGAAGAAGGATAACAACAAAGCTGTGATGGTTTATAAAAAGGCAGCCGTCCATAATGATGCCCCTGCCAACCACGTAAGTTTATATATATATATCTGTATTTGTTATTTCATTTATCAGCCGAGGGCTGAGATTTTCACTAGCTCAACTCTAACTCTTTTTTTATTTTATTTTTTTTTATATAGCGCTTGGCTATGATTTACCTGTACGGAGAATTGGGTCAGGCCAAGAACATGAAGGCAGGTCTTGAATATCTCAAGCGTGCCGCAACCTATGCTACTGAATCTGCACCAATGGCACCCTATGTTTTAGGTCAGATCCTCTCGCGCGAATACACTCAGTTGGAGATCCCAGATGACATTGCTTTCCCTGACGATGGTGAAGCTCTGGAGTGGTTCCGAAAATCTGCTCAACTCGGATATGGACCAGCGAACTATAAGCTCGGATACTGCTATGAGTATGGTAGCCTGGGTTGTAAAGTCGATCCTTATCTGTCGATCCAACATTACGAACGAGCTGTTCAGGCAGGTAACAGCAATGGCGAGGCTGAGATGGCTCTAAGTGGCTGGTATTTGTCAGGAGCCGAGAACTGTTTCCCACCAAATGATCATTTAGCATTCAAATATGCATCCATGGCCGCGGAGAAGAAATTGTCCAAGGCTCAGTATGCGATGGGATATTACTATGAGACAGGTATCTCTGTCCCCTCAGACATGAACAAGGCCATGGAGTATTACAATATGGCAGCAGCGAATGGAAACAAGGATGCGGCCAAGAGAGTGGAGGAATTGAAGAGGGCTTCGGGTACGAGGTATGACAAGTTGGCTCATAAAAAGAGTATCAAAAAAATCAAGCAAAATCGAAAGGCAAAAAACCAGAGTTGCACCGTCATGTAAACCACGAAAACAAGGAAGCAAGGGTGGGGGGGAAGATCATTCCCATCCTTCCAATATTGTAGATATATACCTCTTTTTCTTTTTTCTTTTTCTTCGTAGTACAGTTAAATAAATGGAACATTAATTCTATAGTTTATTTTTTGTTTATCCTGTTTCTTATTTTTGTCCACGTATCTTCTTCCTCTTTTCGGGTGCCAAAATATATGCTCCTCGTCCTGTCCAGAACTTCTCGCCAATGATATCGATATGTTCAATGACTACGCCCTTTTTCATCCGTTTAAGTACTGGCGTATCCGTATCTAGGTTCTCTTTGTCAGTCATAGGTTTGTTTCCAACCTCATTGTCATCCTTTGCTTCGTGGTTACCATTATCACATCCTTCTTCTTCTTCTTCTTCTTCTTCTTCTTCTTCTTCTTTTCCTGTAGCTGTAGGCTTCACAGGTACTATGTTTCCATCTATATTTCGTTTTTGATGTTTAATATCACTCTCATCATTATCGTTGTCCATACTAGATCGTTTCCTTCCATTATTGGGCTCTGCTGTGGTCAAGGATATTAATGTATTGCTTGTAGCTTGTTGTTGTTGTTGTTGTTGTTGTTGTTGTTGTGATATTGATGCTGATATTGAGGTTGATAACGACGATGATGATGGTGACAATGATTCGTTTGTTGTAGAAAAAGGATCAGCAGCTAATCCTGATACTGGTATTGCATTTGCGATTGTTGATCCTGGAAGAGTCTCTGGTAATGTAGGAATGATACCATCCTTTTCTTGATCCTTGGGGATCTGTCCTCGTAAAAGTACACTCCCCTTCCTGAAAATAGCGGGTATCTTGCTATAATTTGTATTGAATTCCGTAAAAAGTATCTCATTCTTGTCCTTTGAATCCGTTCCCTAGTTTGTTTTTTAAAAAAAAAAAAAAAAAAAAAAAAAAAAAAGGCAAGCTTCAAGTATTAGTTTTGATTATATTGAGATACAACACCTAAACATCTTTTTTTTTTTTTTTTTTTTTTTATTACCGCCAGTCGATTTTCAGCGGCCTTGGGAGACAAGCCACCCTTTTCGACCAAAGCCCAAAAGGAAGTGTTGAACAAATTATTGATATGAGTATCTGCTTGGCGCCATGCGAAATAATCCTTGACTTCGATTTCAGAAGGGTAAAGTACGGCGCGTCCATCAAAGACAGGGGGATAAAGAGGCCGTTTCATCTCTGGGAAATAATCATTCCAATAATAGACAAAAGCAGAAGTGAAAAGTGACACCACTGTGGAGACAATCTTGGCTTCTCGTCGTTGATAGAGATCAGTGGATCGACGGAATAAGAATGAATATTCATCGGATTCACCAAAAGCTAACAAGATATCGTCCAGTTCATGCATAACAGCTCTTGCGGCATGGTTCATCAAGTTGAGAGCGCGAACGTCGTTTGGTTTATGAAATTCATGGGCTGCTGAAAACCTTTAGTTGGGAATTATTTTAATTGAAAACTGATCAGGGCCATGCAAGTAAAAAAAAAAAGAAAAAAAAAAAAGGTCACTATTGTTCATCATTTTAAGATCTTTTTACCTGTGGAAACCCTTTCCATCGATGCGCACGAGAATGAATACATTCCTTAGCAAGGTGTCGTCCTTTTCAAACTCCTTGACATACTCATACTTTGATTTTGCCATGCTTTCATTGAGAAGGATTTGGTTAGTTTTTTTTTTAATGCATTGTGTTTAAAAGCTCAAAATAAAACGTGATTTAAGGAATTCTATTTTCAAGTTCATGTGGCAAGCAGGTAAACAGGAGTCTCGAATGGCTTCATTTTAATTTAGTATCAGCAAAGTGCCCTTGCTGTGCCCTTGCTGTGCCCCTAGCGCTCTAGATGATGACAGTAGCCTTCTGAATGCGTGAAGTATGCATAGGATCATGTGTAATAAGTAACAAGGCGAAAGACATATGTGCTTAGTACGATAATGAAATAAAAAAGGAATTGAAGTAAAAAAAAAAAAAGGTTCAAATTGATCTGAGACAATCCCTTGCAGTAAACTGCTCTTAACAGCGCTCTCGACCGAAGACTGACTTGGTTATGTCTAAATTTCCAGTATAAGGTCAACTAAACTCCCAACTAAACGGCCCACAACAAGCCAAGCGTTGGCGTCAACATCTCCAAAGAATTTAATGGACGAAGGCAACACTTCAAGGTCTAATGACAGAAGGTCGGAAACCCTCTGGGCCAACTTATTGAAAAGAGTCATGGATATGTTGTCCAGCAGGTGCTCAGGTAAGATGGCGACCATTGGAAGAGTGATGCACCGCTTACAAGTCCTCAAGGTGTAAGCCTGAAAAAAAGCAATGGCAAAGGGTCTCGAGATGCAGATGATGTCGTATTAGTCACAACACCTGCAGATCTTTACAGAGAAGGATCATATTATTTACTCCCTGACACTGTGGACTAGAACACCATTGATAAACTCTTGATCAACGTATCTGTCTAAAAGGATTACAAAATAAGAACAGGAATCTACTTTTGTTGGATATCCGAGCAGATGCAATCAACACTTTTGACGTAATAAACAAACAAACAAACAAAAACTCGTACCTGATTCAGAAGAATGGCCTTTAACCTCCAGAAGCTCTAGGGGTGGATTTCTGCTGAATGATATTGGGTCCTAGTTAAAATGCCGCCGAGGACTCTTCAAGGACATACTGAAGGAAAACAAGGCAATGCATAGAGCAGAATGTATGCATACAAATCCTTAAAGCAATTAATGTTCAATCTCCCCGTCAATTGATAGCGACAGATTGCAACCGCGATTAGTAGTGGTGTTAGTAGTTGATATTAAATGAGAAGCAAAGACAGCAGGAAGAACTATTTCTTGTTCCTTCATCAAGAACACCAACATGAGACCGTTTTGCCAACATTTTAACGACGTATTTCAATCACCTTTGTGCTATATCAGTAACTAGTCTCAATGATTGCTTTTTCTTCCTGTTTCACGCAGCAAAAAAAGATGTCTTTACAATTACCATACCATTTTGTAAACCAGGAGTGCATTAAACCGGCGCAGGAACAAGCAAAAAAAAAAAAAAAAAAAAAAAAGGGGGGGGCGAGGATGACTGGAAAAAAAAAAATAAAAAAAAGGGGTGAACATGGTAATGTGCAGCTGTTATGTCAAAGAACAAACTGTGTGTACCTGGTTCTGCAACGAAAGCAATGAGGCGGTGAGTATGTCATGGTTTGAATGATATTCATGTTCAAAAAGATGTAGCTCCTATGTCAACTGACGGGTGACATTGGACCTCTCCCCCTTTTTTTTTCTTTACCTTGCTAATCATAGGAAGAGAGGAGTGACCTTCACACGCTCACACTCTAAACTCGTTTTCGTTATTCAAGAAGAAGAGACATTCGGATCTGCCACTTTTTTTTTTTTTTTTTTTTTTTTCTTTTTGTTGTCTTACTCCTTCCTTTGCCATATTTCCCTACCCATCTCAATCTCTAACTTTCTGCTACCCGATCTATTGTTATTCAATCTTTTTCTCTTCAAATTCTTTCCTTTCTCTTCACGTCCTAATGTTTCTCTATTCATATCAACAACGGCTGTTAATAATTGTATAACATTGCACATTAGGAAATCATTCTGTTGCCCTTCCATTTATATTTTATTTTTATTTTTTTTTCGTTTCATCAAAAACGCCCTTTTCCTCTTCCTTAAAACTTTCCTTCTCTTATATTCGTTATGAACCACAACTCACACACTTACTATCAAAACCATCACGACGACGACGAAGGGTACGACCAACTAGTTGTTGATGAAGATGAAGAATATCAAGAAGACTTATTCCTCCAGAAACACTACGGTCCTCCTCGAACCATTGGAGGGCTCGGACTCGTCCATGATGATGATGACGATGAATCTGATGAAGATGAAGATGTTTATAACGCCAACCACAGCTATCATGCCGCCCAGAATCCCTACCATGGCAATGCTCAATCCAATAACTTCCATCATGGTCAAAGTGCATTGAGCGACAGTGGAGAGGAAGAGGTAGAAATTTATATTGAGGATGAGTATAATGAGATGGATATGGATCATCACAATATCCAGCTTTTGAATGGATCCTTGTCTGTTCGGAGTCCCTTCCTGGATGCAATTCGTGAAGAAGAGGATGAAGAACCTGTGTTCGCAAATCCATCAAGTTACCCTAGTCTTGGTTCAGGACGACACTTCCAGCGTCTTAGCAATGGTGGGCTCAAAAATGGTCAGATAAACGATGGAAGTGGTGGTTTTAATCCATGGAACAATAATAATAGTCGCCAAAGCTCTTTAAGCATGGCGCTTGCAGAGAAACACTTGCAACAGAAACAGGAACAACAACAGCAGCAGCAACAACAACAACAAAAACAAGTGCGAGAACAAGGGGCGATGATGATCGAGCAGCAGCAAGCAAATTTCAACAGTATGAACCAAAACGACGACAGCAAACCACGAGGCCCAAGGCCGCCCCTAATGTTAGGAAGACCACGGTCGAACACCTCATCTCTGCCAAGGCTCACGACTGGATTTGATGTGCCTTCATCTACAACGTCGACGGCAGCAGTGGCCTCCAGTACTATTGACCAAGATACTATGGATGTAACCACTATGGACTTGGTAGCCAAGCAGAACAAGGCCAAAGATGCATTGCGTGAGAGCCAGATGTCTCCAGAGAATGCGATTCAAGACTTGGAGGTCAAGCGTGTACTCGAAGGTTCTGCAGCTTTAGCTTCCGCAACCGCAGCTGCGTCGCTGTCTAAAACGGCGGTGCCAGCAGTAGCAGCTTCCTTCTCCTCCTCCTCTTCTTCTCCAAGTCACGGTGGTCCCCAATCCACAGATTCCACTCCGCTACCATCATCTGCCGCGCTAGCTGTAAACGCTGCTACGATTACCTCCACATCGGATAGTAAACCATTTTCCTCTTCCAACGGTGCAGATGATAAACAAGTCGCTACAGCTTCGTTCGGTCAAGATACCCAAAGGTCTATTGATGACTTTTTTGGAATGGTAAAGTCTGATTTGGACAAACGTATCCAAGAGGCTATTCAAGAGGTTGAGCAAAAGTTCCTGAATCGTGTTCAAAGATTGGAACAGCATACTGCAACCCTTACGGGTATGCCACCACCTAACATTAACGGCGATACTACGGGCGATGGCAGTAACAATGGTGATATTATTGATTTGGCATCCTTGCCCAAGTCGACTATGGATGTCATGACCCAAAATCCAAAAGGGTCATTGGCACTGAGGAAAGAGATCCTGTCTCATGTGACCGAGAAAGTTGGAGACCTTGATCTTCGAGTGAATCAGATGGAAGTTTTAGTCTCGTACAAGTTAGTTGACATTGAATCAAAGGTAAATAATAACAATGACAAAAAGAGGCGCGTGAGGTATGGAAAAGAAGAAGAAGAAGAAAAAAAAAAAAAAAAAAAAAAAAACTCATGATACAATTCTTTTTTAGGTCCAAGATCTACATGGTGCCCACAATTCAATTGCTCAAAAGGTGCATCAAGTGGCAAAGTCCCACAAATCCAACATGCAAGGCGTGCGCGCAGGCGATGGTGTCGGTGAGGACACGATCGCTGCAGAAGAGGCCCGTATCAGTGCTGCGATGCAACCCTATCGTGAGATTGATGCTCAAGGTAACGAGGCAGAAGCCTTCTTGGAGCCAATTGACAGTGATGTCGACGAGAATAGTAGCAACAGTCATGAGGGCGTTGTTAGCATTCGAGAACGATCCGCAAGAGCCGGTGGCAGCGCAAATGGCTCAAGTGAGCTTGTGGACGCCTCTACAGCAATAGTAGATCTTCGAAAAGAACTGCGGGAGTTGGGAATGCGGTATCAGGAGCTTAATGACGGATTGCTTACGGACTTGATGGGCCAGATGAGAGATGCCAAGCTGATGCTTTTCCAGACTGTGGACGAGGTGGATGGTCGGATCAGTAAAAGAGTGGACCGGATCGAAGCCGAAATGCATTCAAAGCTGCTAAGTGAAATTGAAGGTCGGATGCAAGAGCGCGTGCGTGCTATGGAACAGACATCGGCGAGATTAGAAAAGTGTTTTGATCGAATGGAAGGCCGTTTAGGAGCTTTGGAGACTGTCCTAGCATCACGACGACCAAGACCAGAGAGCATGTACCAGCTCATGCAGCAACAGTTTCAACAACATCAGCATCAGCACCAGCATCAGTCAGATAGTGGCGTAAGCGGCAGTTTTCCTCAACGTGCGGGCACATTCTCGGGATTCCCATCCAGTCCCCCATCCTCGGGTCATATGTCTGTAACTTCAGTGCTATTTTCAGCGGAAGCAGATATTAATGGTGATCAGGGAGCTTTATCAACGACTTTAACAAACGGCTACAACCCAAGCAGAGGGGCGATTGTATCGAGTCCTACGGAGAGCATTTATAATTCTTCACAAGTCAAGCCTATTTGGATGCCTTCACATAATACTTCAACATCCTCATCATCTTCCTATGCTTACAAGAATCTTAGTACCAGTGTTCCTCTGGTGGCATCCCCCTTGGAACGTGGCACGGTGATTGGGGACAGGATAGGCACCATTCATCCAGAGAATATCTCCAAGGTAAATCATACGCCCACGACACCTGTCAAGGATAAGTTCCAGAACAGTATACCCATTACACCGATTAAAGAGAGGTTTCAGAACCTACTTGCTGCTTCCTCGTCATCAATGACAACACCGTCAGGATCAACGCCTTCGTCCTCAGCAGCAGCAGCAGCAGTAACAACAACAACAACAACAGCAGACCAAAGATCGGTCGGTCAGGCATCAAGGCTACGCCGAGTGTCATTGTCGAGTTTTGATGCTAATAGTCTTTCGGCATTGAAGCCAGTTCGACCGACGACGGCAACTTGCTCAACAACGGCGACAGCAGTTACAGCAACGCCTGCAGCGCTGTCGATCATTACAACTACGACCGCAAATACTACATCATCCCATACACCACGCAGCAGCAACGGTAGCAGCGCTAGCACAAGAAGTAATAGCAGTAGTAGTATTAGTAGTAAGGGCACAAGTGTTTCTGAAAGTAGTCGAAGCAAGAGTCCTGAGGTTAAGAGACCTTCATCTGCGTCCTCTACAAGATCTACATCCTCGTTGTTGACTGCAAAGTTGAACAGTGTTGGCAGCAACGCAGGCATTGGTTCTGGTTCTGGTTCTGGTTCTAGTGCTGGCCATAGTACAACGAGGACAATGCAACGTGCCATGACCTTTGATACATTGCAGTCCAAATCATCGATAAGCAATTCATTATCATCATCTGTATCATCGTCAATGTCATCACCGGTGATGATCAAGACCAATGGCAATAGCAGTAATAGTAAACCAACACAAGGACCATCCTCATATAGAGATTTGCTCCACTTTTGGAAAGCAGGTGGCAGTGCCAATGCTAAAGTTAGTCAAGGAGCAGCAGCTTAAGAGGAAAGAAGAGAGAGAGAGTACAGTACATGTAGCATATACATTGATAAAGTAAAAATACTTGAACTATTAATGAAAAAAATGATATACCTCATTGTGTCTCTTTACCAATTATGAGTGTCGTGTGTAATAATAATAAATATAAAAGGATCTACAAACAAGAGCGAGAGCAGGTGTAAGGTAAGGAGGAAAAGGAAGAGGAATAGGTCTCAATGTTTCGGATAATTGCCATGAAAAAGGGCTTCTTTCTATCTCTATCCATCTCCTCTGTCTCTCTCTGTTTTTCATGAGCAAACTCCTTGTTGTCTTTGCTCAAGAATGATCTCTATCGTAAAGGATAAATAGACATTCTTGGATGAATGAGTATAAAAGTCTTACATTATGGTTCGGCAGGCAAAAAAAAAAAAAAAAGCTCATTTTTTAAAAAAAAAAGCGCGCGTTTTTAGTGTGTGACCATGTACGAGGTATGAAGTACTTTTTTTTTTTTTTTTTTTTTTTGGCATTTCTTTTCACTAGGTGAGGTTTGCTCATGAATAGGTCGAGTGACATGGACAAAGTATGAACAGTTTTAATGTCGCTCTGTCGCTTTATGATCTGCCTTTTCTAAAGAGCAAACGACATCACGATACTTGTCCGTCCTCAGTCTTATTTTTATATATTTTATACAGGAAGTCTATGTCTACAACGACAAGAACAAGAACCATATATACCATGCAATGCAATGCAACAACAAAAAAAAAAAAAAAAAAAAAAAAAAAAAACATGCGCTGTCTCCTATTGAACAAAAAGGAGAGAGAGAGAGAATGCTGACGAAATGGGCAGTTGGATCAGTATCAGTTTGGGGAATACAGTTTACGGTTAGACTACAAGAGTAAATCATTAGTGTCGTTGGTTTAGCATTAATGTTTTGAATGCAATTCAGTCATGTTGAGGAAGCAGCCAAAAGAGGCTCTTCTCTATGCTGCCCTGCCCTCGCCCTTTGTTGCCTGTTGTCTTGTTCTTTTAAACATGTATGCATGTATAGATATATACATGTTATATAGATTTATGTATGGGTTACTCTGTCCTCTGTCCTCTGATCTGGATCTGGTCAATCATTTTAAGCATGTACATGTGCAAGTACTCTTTCTTTTTTTCCCCCCCTTTTTATTTAAACTTTTACTTTCTTTATTTGCCCTTTTATATTTCAATAAGATTAAAAAGAAAAAAAAGGCACTAAGGCTTTTTTCCGATTCATTGTTTCTCTCTCTCTCTTCTCCTTCGTTTTTTTATACCCCACTCTTTTTTCCCTTTTTGTGTGTGTACGCTTTCTCTTTCCATTCAGATTCATGGTCATTCCTTCATCCCTCCATTCTCCATTCTCCCCTCTCCCTTCACTCTGATTAATTTATACAACCCTCCCCCAAAGTCTGTGCGGCGTCCGACCGCTCATTGTCCTCTCTCTTCTTTCTCCACATCCCCCCCTGTCACACACATCAACATCCTTTGTATCTCGTCCTTTTCCATTCTCTCTCTCTCTCTCTCTCTCCTCTCTCTCTCTCTCCTTCCTTCATGACTTGCTCATTGACCGGGCCATACGCTTGATTCTACTTTAATTCATTCACAATTCATTTCTCCATTCTATTCTATTTCCATTTCATTCCATTCCATTCATTTTTATTTCTATTTTTATTCTATTTTTTTCCTCATTCATTTATACTATTCCATATATTAATTCTCCATAATCATGAGCACGTTTGACGGAAAAGCTCCCATGAAGTACATGCCCGACACTGTCGAGTCATTATCACTCTTCTTCTCGCTTTCATGTATCACCCTTATGTCAGCACTCTTTGGCCGCAAGACTGCAGGAACTCAATTTAGTAATATCAACTATGCACGTGGTCTCGTCGTCAGTCTATATCTGGTCTCATGGCTGTTCTCAATCATGGCAGCCATGTTAGTCCAGACCAACAATTTCAACCTATTATCCTGTCAAATGTCCATCTTCATCTGTATTATCCTCTACGGATCATGCAAACTCGTGATCTACTTGTTCCTGATCGAGCGTGTACATATTGTTACCGCTGTAGGGATCAGGCGATGGAATTGCCCCATGTTTAAATTCAACATGTTCCTACTCACTCCCTACGCGGTTGTCTTTGTATTGGCCGTCCTATTCCGTGTCGCTGTTATCACAGACGAAGGCGAATGTCAGGTAAATTTTTTTTTTTTTTTTTTTTTTTTTTTTTTTGGATCAGTGGACAGGCCAGGAGGCGAGACACACACAGACCCTGCACAATATGTCACACAGCATCTGTTCAAAAAAAAAAAAAAAAAAAAAATAGTAAACTCATCATGCCTTTTTTGTTTTACTACTTCCAACTGCCTCTGCCTACTTCTACAACTACCATAGATTGGACTACAGGGTGCAGCAGCGATCCCTTATATCATTTATGATGTCCTCTTGTCTTGCTGGCTCACAGCGCTCTTTTTACGGTCCTTGGTTTCCTCTACTTCCATGCTTCAGGGTCCTACAAAGAGCAAGCTTCGAGATGTAGCCCGCAGGACCTTAATTGGATCAGTTTTTGCTCTGATCCTCTCCTGTGCCAACATTTCAACCCTTGTCTATTTTCAAGGCACTGAACGAGGGCTGTTCTGTCTAGCCTCTTGTACCTTGGATGTCACACTCAATGCAATCACAATCCATTGGGTGACATCAAGTGGTAAAAGTAAAAGATATGCAAGAGTCGGTGGAGGTTATCGAGGTGGTTCAAGTAGTAATGGTGAGCAAAGACTCTCCAGGGTTGGAGCTCAATTTGCAATGCCCGGCTTTGGAGCTTACCGTAAAGATTTGTCACCACGCGACTCACATATCTCAGTATCGATTGAGTCTTATGTAGAAGAATATCATCAAATGCACATTGCCAGCAAAGTACAACCACCCGAACCAGCGCGATACGAATAATAGCATAATAAATATACAATAGCATTTTTTTTCAACTGAACCAAAAAAGCCAAAAAAGCCAAAAAAGCCAAAAAAAAAAAAAAAAAAAGTACAAAACCTTCCTCTGCCCAATCAAAAGGTACTAAAATCATCAAGTGAGATAGTGAAGAAGGGGGGGACACTCTCCACCAATCGAAGGTTAGGGGACTACGTCTCGACCAGTGCTTCTATTCGAACTGAAATTTTGTCAATTATGATGTTTCAGATTAAAAAAATAAATGTCAATTGACAAAATTTCAGCTCGAATAGGAGCACTGGTCTCGACTGACTAAAAAAGTAAAAGTACAGTCCAAACACTTTCTAGATGTTCCAGTGTGTTCATCTCGTAACTGTCAATGGATCAATTAGTGGAAAAAAACGTGTTTTATTGATTTGTTCTACCATATTCATGAATGTGGTAAAAATTTCACTTCCTTGGAAAATAAAAAAAATATATATACAAAAAGGAGAAAAAAAAGAAAGTCCCGACCGTAGAAGCAAAAAAACTGATTATCTTGGGATGCAGCAACGTTGGCCTCTGCAGCAAGGAAAAGGATCATCATAGAAAACGGCACGGTAACCGCTGGGGCAAGGAGTTCTGATAGTGGTACAGTAGACATGCCTGTGGGACTGGGCTCCACAAGTAATGGCCTCGACAGACGTCATGGCAACGAGAGCAAAGACAGCGAGAGCGACAAGTTGGCGAAGCATGTTTGTTTGTTGTTGTTTTTTTTTTCTTAAATCTGGAGTAGAGAAACTTGAGATGGAATGAAGTGGAGTGGGGTCAGAAAATGATCCTTCCTTTTTATAACCAATTTTTTTGAAGCGAGTTTTTGATTGTTCTCTAACAGAACATAGCAGAGAAGGTTAAAGATAGGTCTATAGTAAAATTAGCAAGACTTCTTTGGCACGTTTGCAAGTAGTTAGTCAAGTAAAAACAACAACAACAAGTAACAACATTCAACAGCAAGAAGAATAAAGAAACTCACAACTTCATTGACCCTTTGTTCCAACAGTTGCCCATCCATCTTTCGACTTTCCTTGTTTCAGCTATATTAATAGCACTTTGTTGATGTTCCCAAAATTTTCCCCTCCCAAATGATTTGTTGAAGCATGATCGGTAGCCCTTACTCGTTGATATGAATAGAGTGGAGTAAGCTGATGATGGCATATAACGGAAATCAGGCATGATGCATGATACAACGTCAAAAGTAAAAACGTCTGCCGTGCAGAAATGATAAACAACGCCAAGGAAACCAAAAAAAAAAAAAAAAAAAAAAAAAAAGAGAGGGGAAAAACAGGAAAAGGAAAGCGCCGCATATGCGTGACAAGCCAATCAGAGCACTACGAGAGTGCGAGAGACGTGTTGAGCTTTTTCCTGCACAGCCCACGCGAACAACAATGATAGATTTCAGATCAAAGCATTGGCCACTTTCATCCTTTATAAAATCCAGAAAAAGTCGAGGCCCAAAAATGCTTAAATGTTCATTGCACTTTACACTTTCCTACTCTTCTATATCCATGATCCACTAAACGGCGCTTCATTTTTCTCTTTCCATGTCTCTCTCTCGCTCCCATGACTTTTTTTGGTTGACCAGTCCCTTTCAGGAGATATTACCTGGTAAAGGAAGGGGGAAAAAAAATCTAGCTCTTAGGAGAGTATTTTTCTTTATTTATTTACGCGTTTGTCATCATGGTCAGACTATGTCTCCAAAGATGGTTCAAACCAAAACATTCAAATAATGAGCGAGACCATCGATACGACATTCGTTCCAAAAGATTATTTACCACTGCGAACAATCATTGGTCTGGGTCTGTTTTCTCTGTGGGCATTTATGTCCATTAGTGTTATGCAGCCTTGGTATGAATAGTCGCTGACCCTTGACATCATGCCCGTCATGCCACCATTACTAACGCGACCATCAATTACCACCATACCATGCTCAAGGAAAAAAAAAAAAAAAAAAAAAAAAAAAAAAAAAGAAAGTTCATCATGCAGCTCTAGCATTGACTCTGTATTTGTCCTGCAAGTGTTGTCAATGTTCTGTACAGGCCTTATTTGTCTCTTCTGTACGCAGTTATGTAGGTGATGCGATGTATACTTCGGGACAAACTGATGACCTGTTAATTCCCCTTTCGTGCTACTGCTACCACTGCTTGATAGAATGCGATGGGAGAGCTTCATTTGGGCCTGGGCTTAGTATATCGGACACGGGCATGCATATACTTATACCCATACCTATACTCACACACATACTCATACTCATACTCATGATGGTAGCCATCACACATACGACTATAGAGTTAATCGAGAATACTGAAGTGAACATATTGCGGGCTTCATACTTTTATGTTTTCATTTTTATACGACTGGATCCTTTTGAGGCAACTATAGAGAAAAATGAATGTGAAGAAAAAAGGAAAAGAAAAAGAGGATGTCCCCACAGATACCTTAATGCCACTTCAAGTACTGCCTTTGACGATATCCAAGTTAGTGACTATTGTCGATTCATAGTTGTCGACACCATCCTCGTCTCTCTTTGGTTCCTCAAAAGACTCGAGACGACGTTGCTTCCATAGCTCTTACGTGTTGTCAAAATCCATTTTTATTGCAATATCACTTGAAAATAATGGTCGGTTTACAGCAGCCATAGTTCTTATCATTATTCATACTGCATCACCCTGATCAACTGAAGAGAAACAGTAATAATAATAATAATAAAAAAGTCGTATATGGATGGATGGACGGTCAGAGCTCTGCACAACCCAATCTTTGGTTTACTGACTTTAAAAAAATCAATCATCTTTAATAATGGTAAAACAGACATCAATCTATGATGGTTCTTATATGTCTATCAACTCTAAAAATGGCTTTGATGTAAATCGACGAAAGCTTGAGTGCAATACTTAGCAACCGCTAGGCTTGGGAGAGATTCCACTACGTAACATGGAATCCAAAATGATTAGAATACATATGCATAATTAAGAGAAAGTAAACTCGTCCGATTCAAGAGAGGAACAGCGAAGAAGGTAAAAGTTAAAAGAAAGAAAGAAAGAAAGAAGAGAAGAAGAAAAAAAAAAAAAAAAGTGACTTACGTGCATTTAGGCGATGCTCCAGTAATGTTAATCTTTTGGAAATTGAACTTGTCGCACTTGGCACAGAGGATGTAGACATTGTTTCTTCCTTTCTTGCTCATGGTACCACGGATGTTGTTGAGGTTCACATTGGTGATAGGAGCGGCCCCACCAGGCTTTCCAGTGGGTCCTTCATTGGTGTAATCCTGTTGGATAATAACACCATACTTGTGAATGTTGGACATTGTAATGTCTGTATAGGTAATATTGTTGACTTTACCGCCCGTCGCGTTGGCATAGGCCTTGATACGGACAGCGTTGTCAGAGTTCACAATGTTACAGCGAGCGATTGAAACACCATCAACCACTCCACCAGCCTTGATAGAACCCTGTTTTTTTAATGGCGATGTTTTTTTTGTAAAAGAGGTAGGAGCGTATGAGTAAAAAAAAAAAAAAAAAAAAAAAAAAAGAAGCTCTGTTTGCATATTCACAGACAGCAATACTCTCTTAAAGTCTTTCTTTTTCTTTTTTTTTTTACTGCTTATACGTACAATTGAAACACCATGACCACCATCGCAAAGATTGTCGTTGAAGACGATGTTGGAGCCGCTGTTGACAGCAAGGCAATCGTCGTTATTGTACACTTTGGCACCTACAATTGTGATACCTTTGGAGTCACCAGAGATATCAAAGCCATCTGTATTGTGGCCAAGACTATAGCTGGGTCCGCCTTTTTTTTTTTTTTTTTTTTTTTTTTTCGTGAATTCAAAAGAAATAAAAAAAAAAAAAAAAAGGAAATAAAAGCATCGTAAGAAAAAAAAAAAAGATTGAGTCATATCCAGAAACCACCATATTGAAAGTGCGTAAGGATTAACAGATCCCTCCTGAAAATATATGTAACGATACAAGGCATTTGAGCAACTTACGGTTATCAATGGTAATGTCCTTAAGAATAAGTCCATTACAGTTATTGACAGAGAAGGTGTGGACAGGCGATCTAAGGATAGTCAGTCCAGTAATTGAACCACTCATTTTGCGGAGTCTGACAAACTTGGGCTTATTGACACCACCATTGCCTCCTTTGCCATCCCAATATGCCTTTGTCAGGAGTAGTAGTAAAAAAAAAAAAAAAAAAAAAAAAAAAGGGTTAACGGTTAAGACGATGTTTCATTCGTGCCACTCAATAAACTAAAATGAAGTAGCAAAAAAAGAAAAAAAAAAAAAAAAAAGACACTTACTGGACCGTTGCCATCGAAAACTCCCTTGGTGCCATCAATGTTAATGTTCGAACCACCAATGGTGACGAGGTCGTGGTCCTTTCCAAGATTCCCTTTGGCGAACGTGATAGTGCCAGCTAATGAAGATCAGAGTGGTTGTTGTAAGCTTCGACGTTGACCTCTGTTGAGAGCAGGAACAATTATGAGACTGAGGAAAACAAAGAAAAAAAAAAAGTGTGGGATAAAGAAAAACATACTAATCTTGATTGTGGTGCCGGTCTTGAGTCCAGTGAGATCAATCTTTTTGTTAGCAGGCACGGTAAATGGGCCTTGGATGACAATCGCACTACAACCTTTGGTCCCTGCGATTTGCTCGTAAGATGTAGCGGTGCATCCGGCACGTGTCTAAAGGGTGCAAAAGAATAGTATGAGACAGTTCGAAGGTTAAGTTGGTAAGGAAGGTCTCACAGCCATGTTCTTCTCGTTCACTTAGCGACCCTCACCTGGACAGGCCCAGCAATGACGGTAGTGGCCAAAATGGCGGGAACGATAAGAGAAATTCTCATGATGGAGAGTAGGAAGCAATTCTGAGTAAGGGTTGAGGATTTGGAGTGCTTGTTGTTTTGGATGGGTGTTTTGTTTCCTACAACGGCAGACATATCGCCCTTTTTATACTGTCGAGAGTCCTTTGTCGAGGATGATGGCATGTGCATGCCTATAGTCTTCTGTTTGTGGAGTAGCGATGCTATTCAGCTCTAGAAGACAGCAATCCTCAATTGGATATAATATGGATCCAAGAAGCTGCCATTACACAAATTAACATTTCAATGAAATTATTACCTTGTGCAACCGCCAGAGCCATGGACGTTGTACTAGAAGAAAAGTACCAAAGACAGGGCATATGTTATGAAAAGGATCCCCACGGTCAATTGTGGAGCAGTTTATTTAAGGGAAGGTACTGACATGCAGCTAGAGTTTAGGGTCCAGGTTCTCAAACATAGTGGCGGGTAATAGCATGGGAAATTAGGAAATTAACATGGTCAATGTGTCACAGTCATTTGTTTGTATCTCATGGAATTTATTTTAAATTGCCTGAACCTTGTCATATTAAATGCAGGAAGGTGTACACCCGTGGGATACATCCACATTGAATAAAAAAAAAAGCTCTTCTTGATCGAAGTTTGGCAGCCTATAGTTTATAAGACCGATCCAAGAGAGGAATGGTATCTGGCTGTTATGGTCAATTAACAACACGAGTCGCGTAATGTTGCTTTGTCTGCAAGTGTGAATGTGAATGTGAATGTGAGCACAGGCATAAATGGGATATTTGAAGCCAATTGGGATGACCGTGGCTTGTGCTTATCATCTGCAAATAAACCTTAAGAGCTTTTTATTAATGACCTAACCATTGTTCTAACATCAATTACAATGAAAGGAACAAATTTAATAGAGTCCGATAAGCGCTCTTAATCTTCTGAATTCTGAGGCACATTTGCATCAAATAATGGATAATTTTGACTTTGGATACGTCAGCTAAATCATTTTCAGTTTCCGCCCGTAGGCGCCTAGGACAAAGCAGCACGAAAGCTCAAACTGAAAACCGAATATGCGTTTGAGAGGAACGGTGGGACCACAGACTGCCACATTGATATCAGATTCAAGCTTGGGGTCTTTTATTATTATTATTATTAACCCTTTTTCCATGGTAGAATTATACAATAAATGGTAGAAACAAGGTCCGTAAAAGATTAAATATATCTATTGCAGGTGACGCCTCCAAGTGATAGAGATGAACCAAACAGTTTGCTCCATCTAAGGTAGTCTAGGTGCAGCAGTGCTGAATGTCAAGTCACAAGGAGATGGCACGGGCTACTATAAATGGCGGAGCGGTAACTAGTAGAACGGAAAATTGGAGTGTTGACGTAGCGGACGCGTTCATGACGTCTACTCCATGAAATTAACCGTAGCAGGAAACTCAAGGTGTCTCCTTTTTCCTCAACTGCGGACTTTGTGAGTTATGCATCACATCACGTCTAGAGCTTTAGTTGCTGAAACTGGAGTTAAAGATAAAGTGGTAACACAGAGGTCAATGATGTCAATTGACAGATATGGTGAATACAGTAAGTGCTGTAAGTCGACATGGATTGCTCATGTAGAGTTCATTTAGGATTTTAATCTTTGTCTTTACTCTTCTCATGACTTGAGAAACAAACGCTATCAGTATATCGTTTCCCTAGAGATATGGCTGCTATTGGGCCATGGTAGTGTAACAGCAGCATAACAATGGTTTTATGTATAAAGATATTTTGAACCAAAGGTTGACCTCGATTTCAGGCTAACCCGAATTACTAAGTGAGGGAAGGAGGTTCACAAGGAGCAGTGGGTATATTGTGAAAGAAGCAAAACAAAGGGCATTGAAAAATTTACTAGAAGGCATAACAAGAGAATAACAAGATATCCAAAAAAAAAAAAAAAAAAAAAAAAAAAGATCCTTCTGGAGCAAGCAAATGACCCCTCAATTTTGCAATCCTCTCAAAACTGAATTCTGGACCCATACCAACAGTAAAAGCACTCATATTCAAAAAAATTTAATTATGGGGACTATGCCATTGAGAGACCAGAATTTGTATATAGACTTTTTTTTCTCCCAACGCATAGACCAATGCCAAAAGAGATCCTCCCCAAAATCTCTTTTTTTAGATTTATTCCAGTGGCAAGCGACGCATCTGAAAATCAAGCCTTTTTTTGGTTGCTCAACACCAAAATGGCTCTTTTTTTACTATAAAAAAGAACTTCTTTCCTTAACAAAAAAAAAAAAAAGATTGAAATCACTTACACATTCACCTCTGCCTCCATCTCCACCTAATTCAAGACAAAGCCAACTTTTCAAGCCATGCGATCCGCCGTGTCAGCTGTCATCCTTCTTATTTCTCTCGTGGCCATGACTATGGTTATCTCGGTATCAGCAAGTCCGCTTCCTGTTGTTAAGATGGATCTCCTGTCTCGCGCCGATCCTGTATACCCTGGCTCTAACTCGTCGGGATGCCCCCAGGCGTGTGGTATGGTCCACGACCCACGTTGCGCTACTTCCCAAAATGGCACACCAAGGACATTTAGCAACCAATGTGAAATGGATAAGCACAACTGCGAGAACCCAGAAGATACCTACGCGCCCACAAAGAAGGGCTGCTAAATAATCCATATTCCTTTGTACAACAAAAATAAATAACCTTTTAATACACATAATGTACATAAACATGCCTTCCTTCCTTCCTTTACCCTAAGTAACGAAGATGTGTTTTTTTATTTATTTTTTATTTGTATACATGGATGCACGCAGAAAATCATTACAAAACATAATTCAGTGGGCTTTCAGGTAGGTAAGATTAATTAAGGTACTGAGAGGTGTTGGCACCAGATGAGGATTATTACAAGGATGTCCATTTATAATTACTCTCAAAATGCGATACAAAATAACGCCTTAAGACACTTCAATAGAATTACGGTAGCTACTGAGAGGCAGAGTAGATATTCTCGTCTCTGAGCTAAGCTTTTTGAAGTTACGCCAGTTATCAGTAGATACACATATTGTCCCGCTTTTCACATATCCCCTCCACTCTCTCGATGCAAGGACTGTGACATAGCCATTAAGGGATACATATTTGTCAAAGCACTGATACATTCCTTGGGATAGTGCAGGAATATGTTAAAAGTATTATTCAAGGAGCGCAGTGAAGCTAATAGCATGCATGTGGTAGTATTTAGATGTTTATACGGTTTCATAGTGGGCCCGAAGAGTCGCCTACATAAAAATCGAAGAGTCCGTGGAGCCTTCAGCAGTCTGGGCATTGAAGGTAAGTCTATTAATTGAGAGCAGTTAAAGTGACGAGCCCAATATGAGGAAATAGGTAGCAGAGTCCTCGCCAGAAAGTCGTCGACAAATATTTTTAAAATACTGTCTTTGAATCAAAAAGCGATGATTTGGTGGCTGATTGGCTGATTGGCTGAAATGGAGGACATTTTATCCAATTTAAAATTTGAAAATACATTTGTTGACGGTGTTATTCATATTGATGCCAACCTATGCAATACATTTACATACTTGTATTTGAGACGGAATTGTCATACACATCTTCTTCGAGCGCTATTTTGGTCATACCGTTTGAGCAAATGTCAACAAAGCTTAAAATAAATATCAAAACTCGGCACCACTCATTTTCCTAAATACGAAATGTTTGTGTGTGCGAGCGATTATAAGAAACCACATTTTAATAAATGCAAATAGCGTAAACATTATTAAATTATTACTGTTGGCTTTTACGAGTCATGAGTTGATCCTGGTGAGAGTACTCCGAGCGTTTGAAAATGAGAACTGTGGTAGTTCTTAGAACATACAACTTTATACGCTGAAATTCAGACTCCTTCATGCAATCCAGAAGAAAAGGCGCATATTCAGCCTTCGGGCGAGATGACTTCCTGCCAGCATTTGTAGTTTGTAATATGTCCGCTTTCATATAGTTAATTAGTAGCGCAGAGTTTAATCTCGTACAAAAAAAAAAAGATTCTCTTTATAACGTTAGGCTGTAGCGCAAGGGAGAGAGACAGAAATAAAAGAGAATTTTCTTGGATGCGAATCTACCATTTTGTGACAGTTTTTATTTCATCGCTTATATCCATAAAAAGGCCCCATGTCATCTTCGTACATCGAATGATTAATGAGCTTAGACCCAGGTATATTTGCGTAAAGTCCGAAATACATTCGATGGCTACTTAGCGCATATTATCGATTATGCTTGAGAATAGGAAAATGGATTGAATCATTGATCAGCAGGTAGGGGTTTACACATGGGTTTCACCCTCTTGTTTATTCCAAGGAAGATACGGAAGGAAGATTGCCTCCTTCCTACTGCTGGCTTTCATCAGCTTCCTGACTGCTTCTAGAGACCTTAAGCAACCAACAAAGACTTTCATAATTCATTGCTTTGCTCTTAGGTTCTCGCCGCAACGCTCGAGCCCTTTGCCTTCCCAACTATCGCTCTATTTTCTATGTCAGTCCGCATCTTCGCCTCCCTCAGCAGCGCTACTGCAAATTCAAGCATAAAACATCTTGGAAACTAAATGTGTCCGCTTTTATTTTATTTTTTTCTTCCTCAGTCCAACTAATGAACACATCACCCCCCTTTTGAATTATCTTTTGTAGCCTCATTTAGATAAAAGCTTTGAGAGAATCCGCAATACACTTACTTTGGTGGGACAGATGTTGTCCTAATACCTTCAATGGCCCCAATCAAATAAATGGAGCCTCCAACATTCATTCTTTTGATCTGCCTGTTTGACATCCGCTCGTTGTTCCAAATGAACGTCCGTTGCCCATACACGAAAAGACAAAAGTCAGTCCACATTCTTCCTGACAAGAAGACCAAGGTACCACGTAAGTAAATTGCTTGGAAAGATGATAGGATCGGAACACCTATCAGGGCAAATATTCATTATCACAAAAATTAAGCGTGCTGCAGGAAAAAAAAAAAAAAAAAAAAAAAAAAAAAAACGTTACCATAACACTCCATAGTTGTGTTTGTGGCCATGAGCAACAACATGAGTATGAGTATGAGCATGGTATAAGTATGCCTGCAAACTTTATCCCAGCCGATGCTCTTTATCAATTAGCGCTATAGCAATACGAAAATGGAGTCATCAAATTAGCAGTTTGCCCCCGAAGTATCCATTAGACACTATGTCACTGACTCTGTGCGGCAAAGGCAGAAGAGTCAAGTACAAAGTCATCACCAGTGCTACACACTGAACAATGTTTTTGAATACACTATAGTGGTGAAGAGATGGTCCTGATAGTGGCATAGTGTTTAAGATTTCAAGGAGCAATGATTATTCATATCAGGATTGCATAAGCCAAGAGAGTACAAATATCCAACGCGAAGGCTGCTCAAAAAAAGCAATCTCTGTCCAGCTTTGCCTTAATAGTTCCAACAGGTATATCTTGCTATCGTGTGAGTGTTGGATTATATGTCTGTTACTGTGTAATTGGATGAATGGCATACTGGTGGCCCGATTTAATTTGGAGGCCATCTCTCTTCTGCAGTAACAGTGTAGGAAGCAATTTGTTCATGTGGGGAAAAGCCAGTAGACTGAGCCTCTTACTGACTTTGTCAATCACAGAGACATGCGTGAGAGGAAGTACCGTTATAAAGGCGCTGAAAATCTATTTGATTGGCGGTGTATCTCAGAGGACTTGTCAGATTGGCCATAGTCCACAATACAGGACTAGAACGGCCTGAAACACAAGGACGCCACTTTCTACTTCATACCGTTGCCCGAAACCCATGCCCATAGACAATAGATGTTTACTTCTGAACAGAGATATTTAACATTATATCAATCATCACGTAATTCGCACTTTTCATTTCTTCCCTTACTGGATTAATAATAAAGCAAAAGCCAACACCTTAACCAAAGTCGCTCCGTTCATGCTTATGAGCACAGATAAGGAAATAAAGACCAAGACTAAGGCCAAAAACGTAGCTAAACAGTAAGGAGAGAATAAGACATGTTAGTAGTGGGACAAACCATGGCCCTCGTGACTGACGTACTGACGTACTGATGTAGTTCTGTTTTCATGTTCTAAAGACAGAGCAGCAGTCCTCTTCTGTATGCCGAAACTCGCTAGTTGTCCCTTCACTCACTATGAAAGGAGGTTCGCACTCATTCCAGACAACTATAAATGGTTATCTCCATCTTCCATTGATCTATTCAAGTCCACCAAGAACTACAAGCAAATACCACCCAAGCCAAAAATGTTTCGCCAACTCGTTACTCTCGTTATCGTCGCGGCTGCCGCTATGACCTCTGTTGAAGCCCTCACCTGTGGAGGGTCTGCTATCAAGGGTATCCACTGCGTCGGTGGCGCTACCCCTTGCCCTGCTGGTTACCAGTCCATTTTCCGCGAAGACACCTCTCCATGCTCCTATACCGAACGCTGCTGCATTTAAAGCGCCGCACAGCGAAGGTATGCTACAGATACTTCTTGTGGTGCTTTGGGGAAATCCCTATCGCCTACTAGAGCTTGCTTATTAGCAGTGTACAAACATTCCAAGCAATAAACCTACAGATCGAAAAATGAGCTTTAGAATGAATCATCCTTGAATAACGAGCCGAGCCAATATAAGATTGCTTTGTCAGCAAATGTTTAAATACCCATCCTTAATAATCTAAACCCCTTCATATACTTTCGCCATCAAAAACACTCAAGGAGAAAGCTTGTACTATAATACATATATGGAGCATCTTTGGAACAAGAGCTTTTATATAGGCGAGCCAGACTGTTAGAATCCAAAGGTCCGATTTGTCCGATTTGCACTTCCAGAACTAAGTAAGTATACTTTTCTCACTAATATCACAATAACGATGATAGACCATACCCTCCTAAGCTAGCGGTCCTTCTACCAAGATCAAAGGATACCATACAGCCAACATCCATTGTGATGAGGCAAGCCCTCGTTGAGATATTAAAGTAAAGTATGAACAAAATTAAAACATTCACTTACTGTATTGTTGTGGCTGGTGGACATCCTGTCAAGCCACAGTTTATGGAATCTTTGCGCAAAGCCTTTTAAGTCTAGAGAGCACCAGAGTCAGACCTGTAGGCTAGATTATAAAAGCCAAAGAAACTTCCTTTTCAATAAAGCCTTCAGTTTGTTCTTCACCTACAGTTCATCTTGCCATTTATCTTTTTTCCCTTTTTCACAACAAGTATTTATCTTCCAGTAACTCAGTTTGTGAGCTCACCAATAAAGCTTCCACCTTTTCTTTTGGTATCCTATGGTGCTGTTTGTCGTCAAGGTTATTTTTGCCTCCATTTTCTCTTTTTGACACTCTTTGTCCTTGATTTTGTGTCTATCTTTTGGCCCCTTAAGCAAGATATACCTATTATTAACAACTAAGGACATGCATGTCTTTGCAAGTAAATGACTAATAATTAAAAACTGGTAAAAACCCTAGTAAATATTATTTAACAAGGAAAATCTACAGCAAATGTTGATACAAAATTAAAACAGACTGAAACAAGGACGCAGAGTAAAGGGCATGTGAGCGTGTCAAGTAAGTTTGGTATAGATAGTATTTATTCAGGCCCAAGGTGCTAAAAGATTCAGCAAGTTCCTACTCAGACTTGTATATATACTCTATATGCCTTGGATGTACTCAA